TGGGAAATCCACGCTATTATCGAATATTCAACAATGACGGGTGGGGGGGGGGGGGGGGGTTATACCAAATTCCCATAGTGTGAAAATACAATTATTGTTGAAAGCACTAGGTGATCTGCACTCTACAATGTGACCTGTGCGATTATATCGTTAATTCAGACTACGGAGACGCATGGACGTTGCCTTGGCTAATTCGTTGTCTATCACCACTGGTAGGGTGATGCGCGGGCGTCCGAGCCAGCCCCGATTCTGTCGCTGGAAATACGCTGTCATGCCCACCTGCGCTGGAGTTGCTTCAGGGAGGCGTAGAATATTATATGGCCAAACAGTTTCCATCGTGCTCTTCTGATTAGTACGGATATTGCCTCGGCATTGCAGCGGGTATATAGGTTTGTGTTGGCTATAATTTCCGGGTAAGATATCCCTAAAAGACGGCGGAGCTGCTTTCTGTGGAACGCATCCATTGCTGTAGCATCCCGGGATGAAAGCACCCACACGCCACAGTTGTAGGTCAAAATGGATAGCACAAATGCATCAAACAACCTCTGGCGGGTTGCTTCAGAGATAACTTGTCTCCGCATCCACAGGTTGACAAGTGTGTTGAAGGCAGCTGCGGCTTGCTGGCGCCGGCGTTTGAGGTCTTCTGTTACTCCGTACAGTGAACCAAGCAAAACGTGCACCGTATTTATGTACAATTGTTCAAAACATGGAAAGGGATTATTATTATTCAGTGTCATAGCATGTGATAGTACAATGGTGTGTGATGCTGATAAGTAGTTACCCCTGGCCCAACATCTTAAGGACATTTCAGTCAATCATCCGTGATTTCAGACTACCGGGTAGTTGGTTGTACACATCAAGCATTCCACGCAATATACAATGTAACTAACTTGTAGTGTCCCTTCTATTCACGAAAGGATGCTTCGAGTCACTCTGGTCCGAATCTTTGGGCCAGCAGCGAGGTCCTCTCCCAGTGTCCCACCGTTCCGTCAGCAGAAAGCATGCTGCCGACTCGGAGGTACCGGAGCTCGCCCACCATGTCAATCTCGCTGTCATCCTTCAGTCGAACAGTATCACCTGACGTCGGTTGACACACCGCCATGCCCTTCGTCTTTTCCAAGAAGCGCTGGCGGGATCCTGTGTCCTCGGACCATACTTAGGCTAACATCAACCTACCTGACCTGGACTGATACAGCACAGGAGAGACTCACCAGGTCGCAGTATTGCCGGCAGAGGGTCGTCGACTCGAGGAGAAAGCCCCAGACATCCCGTGCCCCAACTACCGCTGTGACTGAGTGTTCCGTCGTCCTGGCGACCTCAAGCAGCATGCGCCATACTGCAGATGTCAAGTACCTTTACTGGCTTTAGTCGTGTTTAGACTATTACTAGTATTAGAGCCTCAGCTTGACTTGAGGAAGTCATCGCTATCAGTGCCACGCAATGGGCGTTCCAGCGTATACATGTACATGTGTGTGTGTGTGTGTGTGTGTGTGTGTGTGTGTGTGTGTGTGTGTGTGTGTGTGTGTGTGTGTGTGTGTGTGTGTCCCATATGGTGCAGTGGTATGTGCAGCGATTTCCAATCGATAGGTTGCGGGTTCGATTCCCGACGATTATGGTCACACGTCTTTCTTCTCCTCCTCAGACTCTTCCTGACTTTTCTTTCATTCTCCTGGGTGGTTACCAACAGCCAGTGCATGCCGGAGTATGTAGTGTGATGTGTGTGCGGGAAAAAGAAAAAAAATGAAAAGACCAAAATTAGGGATTCACTGGCCAGAAAAAGTCACTTCAAATAGCTGCATGGTGTAGACCAAGGCTGAATAGTGACGGTCAATCCTTCAGCCTTGCAAGCTGTTGAATGGTGCAATCCCAGCACAAGTTGCTATGGCTTCTGCCGTAGCATTGCTATCATCGCCTCCGGCGATGGGCGTCAAAAGGTCAAAGGTGTGTGTGTGCGTCACTGTCACAGTGTGTGTGTGTGTGTGTGTGTGTGTGTGTGTGTGTGTGTGTGTGTGTGTCCACTTCAAATAGCTGTGTGGCGTAGCCTGGACTGAATAGTGGTGGTTAATTCTTTAGCCTTGCAAGCTGTTGAATGGTGCAGTTCCAGCACAAGTTGCTATGGCTTCTGCTTATAGCTGCGCATCGCTATCATCGCCTCCGGCGATGGGCGTCAAAAGGTCAAAGGTGTGAGTAGATCTACGGTGTGTGTGTGTGTGTGTGTGTTTTCTTTCATTCTCCTGGGTGGTTACCAACAGCCAGCGCACGCCAGAGCATATGGTAGATCTCCGTGGTGTGATGAATGTGTGCGGGTTTTCTAATCCCGCACACATACATGTACATCACACCACGGAGATCCCTACTTTTAGGTCTTTAAAAAAAAAGAGACCATGAAGCAGGGATTGACTGGCCAGAAAAGCCACTTCATCATATTAACTTTGTGGTGTAGACCAGGCTGAATTGTGGCGGTCAATTCTTCAGCCTTGCAAGCTGTTGAATGATGCAATCCCAGCACAAGTCTCTCTCTCTCTCTCTCTCTCTCTCTCTCTCTCTCTCTCTCTCTCTCTCTCTCTCTCCGAGGCTCTCTCTCCGAGGCTCTCTCTCTCTCTCTCTCTCTCTCTCTCTCTCTCTCTCTCTCTCTCTCTCCCCGTAGCTCTCTCCCACTTTGAAATCCGCTTCCATAGAATTGAGCACCATTGCCCGTTTGGCCTTGCAAAGTAAAATATAAATCAACAACAAAATTAATAACTAATTACTTGCTATGGCTTCTGCCGTAGCATCGCTATCATTGCCACCGCCTCCGGCGATGGGCGTCAAAAGTTCAAAAGGTCAAAAGGTGGTGTACATGTACATGTACATGACTTGTACAGGTACATGTATGTGCGTGTGTGTTACTGTACGTGAGTGGCGTGTGTCTGTGTGTGCGAGGCGCACCATGCAGCTACAGTTCAGTTGGTGTATGCAGTAACATAATTGTACAAGTCATGTAGATCTACATGATTGTAGATCTACATGACTGTACACAACTGTCGAGCCAACAATCATGATTGTACAGTCAACTTCGCTTATAACGACACTCGGCGGGGCATCAGAAAGGTGTCCTTATTCGCGAAGTGTCGTTATACCCGAAGTCTCATTATTATGTATTACAGTGGGATGGGACTTTGCTCTGGGCATGGAAAAGCTGTCGTTATTCGCGAATTGTCGTTATATCCGAAGTCGTTATTAGCGAAGTTGACTGTACATGATTGTAGATCTACATGATGACTACATGACTACATGTATATGTATCTGATAGTGGTTTGGGTTTGGAGTGGAGTGTTACCATCACACCAGGCTTGGTAGCTTCAACCCCCTCGTTTCTTGTGCAAATAATTCAACAATCAGTCAAAATGTTGACCTGAAAAAACGAGTACGCAAAACTCTGAAAAAACTCTGCAAAATGACACTGGAGAGTAGATCTACGCATGAGGCCATCGGGGGTAGAGGGCACTTGGTAACACTGGGCTTGACCTTTTTTGAAGTAACTACGTACATGTATGATGTACTGTTGTGGACATGGAAATCCGGTCGCACGTCTAGCGGCCACAGGGCGCTGGCCATGCAGTCGTATGATCGTAGCATGTACATGTATGCGCTGCTAGCTGCTGGTCGCATAGGCCAGGATCAACATGATTGTGCACTGCATGCAACGACTTACGTTCTGTACGCGCTGAGGGCGCCGGCCCCGGTCAATCGACTGGATTTCGCGACACTCACAGTAGTTGAACTTGAAGGTGTGATGCTTGCGCCCTGCACCAGTTCCCTTCCCAGTGTTCGCAGGTCTAGGACTAGGGTTCAGCACACCGCCCAGCAATGGAGCATGGCATTCACTTGCTTGCTCGGATTTCACCTTGCATCTGCACCTTCAAATTCAATGGGGACAGGGGTGAATGCAGTTGGATCAGGGAAGATACCTTGATGCCGTCAGTCACCTTTCTACACCTCAGAGTCGTCTTTACCCACTTACTGAGTGAGGTGTGCGGTGATCATTTCCAAGTCCACCCGGAGTTTGGGGATTTCAGGGGTGTCAAATGCTACAATGTAAGCCATTCAATGGTCATGTAGCCATTGTCCAAGGTTCCTTTTGATTCTCTCTTCCCTCTCCCCCGGGGCCCCAGAAGATCCACTGGTATGACCAGTTTCTGGCACTGATCAGCTGAGCAAGTAAAAGTGTGGAGAGCGTGGGTGCGTGTGCCCATGACATGTGTGTACGTGTGTGTTCATGACATGTACTAGGTACTTGTATATCATGTATGTGTCACTGTGTGCGTGGATGTGTGTGTGTACGTGTGACTGTGTGTCCGTGATGTGTCCCTTCATCATGCATGAAGTTAGCTAATACGTTGCATATTGATTATTGTACTGGCGATCTACGTCGTTCAGTCTAGTCCGCCAGTACACACTAACTATGAGTATGACAGGTACTGCACTGAGGTAGTAATAAACGGACCACTGACCATGCTGACAGAGCAGAGTAACGCTTAGCGATAGTAAATCCTACGCAATACTGTACTTGCATGCCAGTCACACTACATCAACCACCATGCACGAGATCGGCTCCTTCCGACTGATGGAGTCAACCATCTAAAAAGGGGCAAAAGTAGCATACATACACGTACACATGTACTGCACTGCACTGCGTGTCTGGACTTCGGCCGCATACAGATACACGCCGCGGAAGTCGACATGGTCAGAGCCAAGACAGTCACAATCTGCTCCTACTGTCCTAGAATAAATAAAGCTAGAGGCTATCATCATAATCATGACTACGTCGTTAGACGTGAAGTCGTTACTTGTCTTTGTGCCATGCCTGCCTGTAGTCTGTAGTGTAGCCCGTGCCCGCGCTGCGGAAGAACGAGCCTCACAAGAGTCACATGCACATGTACATGTAAAAAAAAGTAACTAGTTTCAGGAGAGAAAGTAGCCACTTTACACTGTTACAGCAATACAGGGTTACAGCTAACCAATCCCTGTAGATATGCCACTACATTCAACAAGCACTAATCTCTGATTCTGAGCTATAGCATGCAGTGTTTCCTGCGCTGTCCACTAATCATTTTTTTCTTGTGACTCCGTTCCTGTTGCACATGCCTCCAGCTCCGATCTAATCGCGATGAAGCGGCTGACGAAAATTATTTGTGTGCTTGACAGCCACTGAGCCAGTTGTGATCCCTAGAGTAGAGTTGTGTGCGTGGTGACTGACCTCCATTCATCCGCTGCCTCGCTGTTCCTTGCTGATATTACCACGGATCGGCTGGATAACTGGACAGAGCGAGCTAGCGAGCTAGCGTGAAGCACTTCACGCCAGCGGTTTCGTCGGTAGCGTCCTCCTTGCTGAGGAAAATCCTGCCAATATCCTAGTCCTGTACCTGTTGCAGTCCGTTTGGTGCTTTGAAATGAGCGGCATATATATTTTTGACCTCGAGTTGCACCTGCGCTAGCCCGGTTTGAATTTCTTCAGCAATTTCAGACCAGTTCACACAGCTGTATTCCCTGGGCCGTTGCGCTGTCCTCCTTGACTGAATGGCCACAGCCCGTACCTCCAGTATGTCGCTGAGAAAAGATAGCAAGGGTATGAAAGATAAGCCAGGCAAGGATAAGGGTGGAGCGAAATCCCCATCAGCCTCCGCCTCGCTCGATTCCTCCTCCTCGTTCTTTGCCAAGCACCGCGCGAAACCCCGATCGAAGAAGGACAGTAGCTCGGTGGACGTTGCTGCGTTTGATACGATATCGTCGGCCACTTTGCCACCGATGCACACTGGGGACTTCTCACGAATGACATCGAGCTCGTCGTGCACTGCCCCTCTGTCCAGCCCAAAGCAGGTGGAAAGGCAGTCAGCATCTCTGACCAGCCTGGATAATGAGTGCTACGCGCCCAGCATACCAGAGCCTATCAAGAAAGGGCATGTGCGAATTCTCCTGCCCAAAAGGCAACGCACCATGCTGGTGATCCGCAAGCCAGACATGTCTTTAGAAGAAGCGCTAGGTAAGGCAATGAAGATTCGCAACTTATCTCCCGACAACTGCCTGGTGTACCGCTTGGTGCCGGAAAAACGGCCCCTGCAATGGAAGAGCTGCATCGCGGACTATGACGGCGAGGAGATCTCTGTTGAAGATAAGAACAACACCACGTTCCAAAACCGCCACCGGTTGGTCCAGAAAGGACAGATGCAGGTGAGTTGATTACGGGCGTATCCAATGAAGATGTTCTGACATAGTCTACACAGCAATCGTGCAAGTATAGTCCGGTAGTGCTGGTCGATGGCAGCAAATCACGGCTGCAAACATGCGGGCACGTACGGATATATACAAAGTCATGTAAATTGCACAAGTGATACGTGACTGTGCATGTCTTGTAAATGCGTGCAAACGTGTGTGTTTGTGCGCAAGTGCGTGCACGTATGTGTGTACACGTGTTTGTGTGTGTGTGTGTGTGTGTGTGTGTACACGTGTGCACATATGTGTGTGCACGTGCATATGTGTGGTGGTGGGGGGGGGGGGGGCATGGACCGGTAGCGATTCTGAATCATTAGTTTCAAGTCAATAGGGCTTGAAAGTGCTAGGTCACAACATAGCAATGGCATAGCAACAATTTGAAAAATTCAAAAACTGGATCCAACTGGATCCAGTTTTTGTATGGATCCAAGCACATTTCAAGCGGCCTTACTCACAGCAAGGTGATGTAGCCAGTGAAACTGACTGATTTGGCTAGTGGGGGCGGGGTGACAACTGGTGGCGAAGGAAAAGTCGCACCTGCATACGACATGAGTGGGTTGCTATGCACCCACATACTGAGGCAATAGCAAAGTCACACCTTAGTGGATCCGAAATACCGTATTTTTCGGAGTATGGTGCACACCTTTGTATAATGAGCACCCCGAATCTTCATTGGGGGTGCGCACTTCAATCTTCATTGAAGTACATGAATTTCATATTCGGAGCATAGTGCGCACCTGCGATTTAGGGCCTAAAATAGCACATCTAAAGTGCGCACTATACTCCGGAAAATACGGTAGAAATCTGATGTCAACTTACTACTCCCAGGCCGTTTTGACGTCATCACTTTCAAGCACTATGTGGCCACCATAGTCGCTGGGGTGGAAGAGGGACCATGGGACCATACAACTGAGTACATGGACGCCTTGTTGCAATAGACGTTATCCTAGGCTGCATGTACATCAGAACTGGCTAGAGTCATGACGACGCTCAGCTATTGAATCCGATGGGTCTGTACATCTGTATGGATCCATACATGTCTGAAGTGGCTTCCTTGGCAATGGGGCAGGGTGATGCATGTGCCGACAGTGCCTGGACTGGGGGGGGAGAGGGGAGGCAGTGCTGGTATGGTGAACTTCACACGCCAGTATGCAGTACAAGAGGGGCGACGCTTAGTATGCCCTTTGTAGAATTGGTCTGGCCAACTGAAGATTTTCCTGCCACTGCAGTCCATACGCTTATTAATAACATCTATTGAGACTATCCTATACCTCCAATCCAACGAGGTTGGTCAACTGAAAATGGTTTGGTCAAAGCTTGATCAGCGGAATCTGTGTGGACAAACACAGATTAATATCTAGTCAATGATCAGTAGCGTCCAAGCAGATCCCCGACCAATGATACTTTCCTTTCATTCATTGTACATATACATGCCAGTTGCTCTGTTACTTGTTCTGGGAGATACCCTGATACCTAGTCTTATGTGGTTTTGTGCTTCGCCTGCATAGTTCACCAACTGTTCGTACTGCGGCAAGTTCATGTGGTCTGGACTGAAGTGTCAAACGTGCCAGTACAAAGTTCACAAGCAATGCTTGCCCTATGCCACCAAGTACTGCTACAACGATGAGGATGAAAACGGAAGTCTGGAAACACCGAAACTCAGCACTACGGAACTGATTAACAGAGTTCCAATGGATGACTCGTTGCAAGCACTCTTTGCGGTAAGCCCAGTGGATCCCATAGAATGATGAGCTTTGTCTGTATACCTTGATGGGAGATGTTATTGTCATGGGTTGGAGTGCATGAGATGTTTGATTGTCATTTCATGCAGGAAAACACATACAGAATGAATGTTGGCTTTGTGCATAGCGTGTGCTTGGTTAAGTATCTGAAGCATAGGCTTTTGCTAGCATGTCGAGAACAGAGGGGGTTTTCCCTGCATTTTATTCTTCACAGTACCCAGGAGATGGTAATGACGAGCATGTTACTATACGCCGCGCCAACATGGACACCCTTACCAAGGTCTACAACCAGCCGACGGAGACAACGAAGCCGGAGAAGCGCCTGATCCGAGCTGGCTCCATGCCCAGCCTGAAGCACGACAACAGCGCCACGGACGAGCTCATGGCCACGATCACGCCATCTTCCGGCACTCCGGATGTACTGGCCAAAGGTGAGAGAAATTTGCAAGATTTCTGTGTGTGATGAATGAATACTAAGGGTTGCACAATTCTGGCCTCATACACGTGCATGACATATTCAGTAGTCAGGGAAGTTGCCAGCCCCAGCCCAACGGAAAACAAACAAACAACTGGATTATGAGTTGGGCTAGCACCAGTTGGCATTGAGCCTTATCATCTGATTGCGTATGTGACTCAGTAAAGCACTGCATACAATGATTTCATGGATATTATGTGAGCAAAATACAGGCAACTGTCTACACCCGCTACCATTGCAGGCAAAGAGTGTGCAAACGCGGTCAAGATCATCCTTCTGTAAGAACTGAGCCGCCTCCCTGAAATGAAGCAAAGTGGAACTGGAGTTATGCACTGCACTTTACTGAATGCGTGTGCACGGGCGTCCGTGTGCATGTGTGCATGCACGTGAGTGGGTGCATTCATGTGTGTGTGGTTTACGTGTGTGCGTATGTGTGTGTGCTCACGAAAGTGTGTACCAGTGCCTATCTCTTATCCACACTTGCTTGTCTCTCTGATCGCATGTTGTCCCCGTTTGTGGTCGGCTTCAGTGGGTGTGGAGTAAAGCTGTCCTGTGCAAAGTTCTTTTGTGTCCTCTCTTTCACGTGAATGATGTAATGAGGAACACAGACTGTAGTGTAATGAGCTCGTGAACTGTTTGTGTCTATTTTCAGATAATTATCGAGCATCGTCACACTTGCAAAGCAATGCGAATAAGAGCACTACATCGGTGGCATCGACTAAAACGCTCACCAAAGAAACTGAACCAGAGGATGATGTAGTGTAAGTGTATGTCTATTCCGTGCCCACCCTTCTGTCTGTTGGGATGTCTGCCCCTCTCTGTGGCCGTTTAGTACACACATTATTGTGGCCTGAGTTTGGTATCCCAGGAGCCTGAGAGAGAGAGAGAGAGAGAGAGAGAGAGAGAGAGAGAGAGAGAGAGAGAGAGAGAGAGAGAGAGAGAGAGAGAGAGAGAGAGAGAACAGACCGACAGACAGACATGCAGAGATAGACGGAGGCAGACAGATACGGAGAGACACAGAGAGAGACAGAGAGACACTAACAGAGATAGACAGACAGGGAAAGAGAGCTCGGCCAAGGGCTTGGTTTGAATGATAGCCTTATGCCGTGTCACATTTGCAATAGCATGCATCGAAAACATGCAGTTATATGCCATGCTCCCTTGCTCCCACAGAGACATGTGTATATTCTCATGTTACTAAGTGTAGCTGTGTTCCTCCTTAGAGAACATAGTCCTAATGTTCCTTGGGTGATCTGCTCGGATCATGTGCATACAGGAACACTATGGATTTGGTTACTACGCGCCAGACTATTGCAAATATGGGTCTGGCATCCGAGAAAATAGAATCGGATTGGGAGATCCAGATGAGTGAGGTAAGCGGGTTGGGAGCATGGGGGATTAGTGTGGAATAGCTTTGATATAGTTGTCACGGTCTGACAGTACAATCATGTAGCTGATCGATAATTTACGGATATTACTGCTTTTGAACTTCATGAACATGCATGTAGAAAAATGTGTATGTGTGTGTGTGCGTGTGTGTGTGTGTGTGTGTGTGTGTGCGTGTGTGTGTGTGTGCGTGTGTGTGTGTGTGTGTGTGTGTGTGTGTGTGTGTGTGTGTGTGTGTGTGTGTGCGTGTGTGTGTGTGGGTGGGTGGGTGGGTGCATGGTCGGTATACTGTGGGTGTTCGCCTGTGTGTTGGTTGGTCTGTCTGTATACTTCTTAAAGCCGATGTACATTATAATTATGTCAGCAGGCTTGTCGGTGTACGTATCGATGAGTACGGCAGAATATTTACCCACAGTCAACATTCTCCACCTAATATTCTTCTTGTCCGTCTCTCAAGAGTAAAATACTCGCATGCCAGAGATTCAGAGACATCACAGACATCCACCAGCCCACTGCTGGTCACCTGAAACACAAGCAAAGCAGTCCTCTGCTGTGCACTTGTCATTTGAAAAGTGCACATAGCACTGTCTTCAGCACTGAGAAAGAGCACGAAATTCAGGCTCCTCGACAGCAACATTTTGAAAATTCGTTGGTGTTGAAGAGCCTGAAGTTTGTGCTCTTTCTCAGTGTTCTGGCATTTTTGTCCCGAGAAAGCTTGTTACTGCCTTCCAGTGTGGTCACTGTTATAGGCTGCCTGCAAGGTGCGCAATTGCATTTCCCAAACTCCAGTATGTATAAGCTTGGTAAAGGTTTTTGTATGCACTGTATCTATTGGCCACATTCGTAATAATGGTGTGCGTGTGTGTGTGTGTGCGCGTGCGCGCGCGTATCTGTGTGCCCTTTGCCCGTTTGGTGCAGGTGAAACTCTTTGATAAGGTCGGTTCCGGCGCATACGGCTCCGTGTACAAAGCCGAGTACCACGGAGAATGTGCTGTGAAGATGCTGAATGTGAAGACGCCAAGTCCGGAGTTACGTGAAGTGTTCGCCAATGAGGTACGTTTGCCGGGTAGCAAATCATGTATGAAAGTGCGAATAACAGTCTGCTAGTACCAAGCCAGGCTTACACGGCATGACCAGTCGTAGGTTGACTATACTATATTTCAGCTACTTGTAAAGTTACTAGCAGACATACACTGATCTGATTGTACAGCTACATGTACAATCGACCAAGTCTGCGTGAAACACCGAGCCCCCGCGGCTGCTGGCCAATAGTGTGTTCCCTGCCCCATCCAGTTCATGCTCAGCGGGCAGGGAAATAACGGTGTCAGCCGATTCCGGATATGTGTTTCTTGTGCTCTAGGTCAAGATCTTAATGAAAACACGTCACGTTCACGTCCTGCTGTTCATGGCCTGGATCTTCGACCCGTTGTGCATCGTGACGCAGTGGTGCGAAGGCTCCTCGTTGTACTCGGTGCTTCACGTCGATGGCAAAACGCTCAGCAATGAGCAGACGCTGACCGTCGCTGACCAAGTGAGTGGCTTTGTGGATGCATACTGTGTACCCCCTCCTCCCCCCCCCCCCCCCCCTCACATGTGCATGCCACTCCACAGAAAGCACCTCAACTGATGATCAGGGTTCTAGCCTGGGGGGGGGGGGGGGGTAGAGGGCCCAGGGCTCCCCCCCCCTCCCCAATTCTTCGGTCCAGATTCGCACTGCACGGTTTGCTTGACACAGACAGCACTATTGGAAAGTATGGGTCAACTGTTTGTATTGAACCCTGGATGCCGGATGTAATCACGTGACCTCATAGAAGTAGGCAACTGCAGATAGTCCCTTTTCCGACGAATTAAGAAAGGAGTAGCAACACCTTTACAGTCAAATGTCCCGTATCCAACCACTTTAGGAATGGAGCCTTGTTGGATGGCTGATGAATGAACTGATGAATCTCTTGGGCGTCTGGTACCACTTTGCATGTGTGATTTTACCACTTTGCATGTGTGATTTTACCACTTTGCATGTGTGATTTTACCACTTTGCATGTGTGATTTTACTGTCTTGTGTACAAACCGATGAAAATAAAGTGTAAACATCCATCGTCACGTTGATAGCATTGCGGCCATTTTTGTGCAACAAAGCAATACACCTCAAGTTTCTAATCAATATTCGGAGCATACTGTTTTCTCTTTGCTGGCTTTGGCACCACCATACCATGTGACACAGAGTCAAGAGTGTCGTGGCTCAAAGAGATAAATTGTGCACCAGGAGCATAACTGGTCCCGCCTTTTAGGGGGTGCACGGCCGCATACATGCATGTGTAGGATGGCTGGTGCATGTCATTCATGGTTATGTGCATGCTGTAGGTCAACATGTTCAGGGGGGGGGGGGGGGGGGGGGGTGCACATGCTGCCCGTGCCCCTTGCGGGCTACGCGCCTGAGCGCTCCCCATTCTTGGATATCCGAAATGATCGGATAACGTACGACCGGCCCTCTGACTTGTGACTGTACCAATGCCTTATACCATATCAAATGCATGGTGGTTTCTGCTTCGCCATTGCCACAGATCGCGAAAGGCATGGACTATTTGCACTCGCGGAAGATCATTCACCGTGATTTGAAGTCGGGCAACGTCCTCCTGGAGCACAAGGCAGACTTTGACTACAACAAGCTCGACATGGTGGAGCTGATTAACGTCAAGGTAAATTGATCCCTCGGCAGTGCTCGTTGTGCAGCGACATTCTGTATCCAGGGGACTGTGTTTACGAGTACTTCAATTTGTAATGTGCGCATGCATTGGGTATGCATGTGCTTGTTGTGTGGTTGTTGACAGCATGTTTTCTACTGGTGATGTAGATTTGCAATGTGCGATGTGCAGCATTCCGGTAACCGTTTGCATGACCCAATGGCTACCTTGCGATGTGCAGCATTCCGGTAACCGTTTGGACGACCCAATGGCTACCTTGCGATGTGCAGCATTCCGGTAACCGTTTGCATTACCCATGGCTACCTTGCGATGTGCAGCATTCCGGTAACCGTTTGCATGACCCAATGGCTACCTTGCGATGTGCAGCATTCCGGTAACCGTTTGCATTACCCATGGCTACCTTGCGATGTGCAGCATTCCGGTAACCATTTGCATGACCCAATGGCTACCTTGCGATGTGCAGCATTCCGGTAACCGTTTGCACGACCCAATGGCTACCTTGCGATGTGCAGCATTCCGGCAACCGTTTGCACGACCCAATGGCTACCTTGCGATGTGCAGCATTCCGGTAACCGTTTGCATGACTGGCCATGGCTACCTTGCGATGTGCAGCATTCCGGTAACCGTTTGCATGACCCAATGGTTACCTTGCGATGTGCAGCATTCCGGTAACCGTTTGCATGACCCATGGTTACCTTACCCGAGTCCATGATGATGCCGAGCAGTTCCTGAATTTGTTGCTGCTAAAATTAGATAAACTGCAATGATGCCCATAATGGTACAATGCGCAACCACACTTTCTGCCTTCAGGTTGCACGCCCTGCTGTTGTCCAATGTAATGAAATGGAAGAGAACTCAAGATGGTATGTTCTCTCCTGTGCTGTGCTGTGCTGTAGATTGCAGACTTTGGCTTGAGTGCCATGCACAATGCGCTCAGACCGAGTAGCATGCCCAACGTAGGACAGCAGCCGCTGGGAAGCCTGCTCTGGATGTCCCCGGAAGTGATCAAGATGAAAGTGAGCGACCCGTACACGGAGAAGAGCGACGTGTATGCGTTTGGCATCATTTGCTATGAGCTGATCACGCTGTCCCTGCCTTTCCCTGACCTCCGCAACCGGGATATGCTCATGTGGATGATCGGCTCTGGCCAAAGACGCATTCAACTGGATCCTAATGACAAGACGTATAACAAGGCACCCAAGGCGTTCAAGGCTCTGTTTCAGAGCTGCGTAGAATTTGACCGTGATAATCGTCCTCTATTCAAAGAGATTGACCTAACACTACGGAAGGCCCTAGACTCCCAGCGTAAGCCAAGGCTGTTCCGCTGCAACAGCCTGCCGAGCTTGCCACATGATCTGTCCTAGTGAAACACTCTACATGCACTCTGCACTACTGGACCTAGTACTGCGTGCAGCTATGCGGCCAGCATGCTCACGGACACCAATGAAGTGACAGGGCACTCCTGACTATCGTAGTCCCCTTTCGCTGGTCGTAGCTCCTAATGACTGGTAAGCTGTCCTAGTAACTGGTGTCTCATCGGTACACTGGCTGGAGGGAACTGTCTTTGCCTGGCATGGACGTGAGTCGGTTTGGGCCACTGTGTGCAGAAATGAAGCGGCAAGGTTGAACTCTCCTGTGACGTCTTGGTCCCAAAGCAGATGTCTGATCGCTGTTCCTGGCGTTGTAGCTTCTGCTCGGTCTAGCACTAGACAAGTGAGATTCCTGTTCTAACTGATTCGTGTGAAGCACTACTGACCAGCTATACTTGTCTATGGTGATGGTGATATGTCAGTTTGTCTACATGTGCAAAGCTAAACTGCTGCCCTACAGTCGGTCGGTCTTATGGACCAGTCTAGCAAGAACCCAAACACACTGTAAACGGTTACCCCATGCATGCTGGAGAGCAGACACCAGCTTGTTAGTCACCCTGGTCAGTCACTCGATCAGTGGACAGGATCTCAGTCCCACTGCCTCCCTCTCTCGACTTGATAATAATTATGAATTCAATGTGCGCACGCGCGCATGTGTGTGTGTGTCACGTTGTGTGTGTGTGTGCAGGCGCGCATGTGCACGCACATGTCTGGATGTGCATGTCCATCTACTCCTGGTACATTATATCACTATTGGACTCAGTATTTTCTCTGACTGTGCCTTGCCGTGTCAAGATCATGCGTAACTTTCACCATAACTGCGTTGCCGCTGCATTTCCGAACCAGAACCAATTAACCATTTTTTTCCCAGGATCATTTCCTGATAAAGCTGTCCACTATTTCCCGCCGGAATCTATTGCTACATTGCTAGTTTCTCAACCTGAGAACCCCCGTGACTGGAGTTACCAGCACTACCCAAGTAGGGCGCAGTTTTGTTCGTCTGTTTCAACGATGTATTGCCGTGTGTGCTCGTAATCGTAATACAGTCTCAGTGCATCTGTGACACAGAGCACCATCTCCGACCTGCCAGTTCTCCTGTGCTGCGTGTTCTGTGGCTTCATCCTCCTCCCCCCCCCCCCCACACACACACACACAATCCTCTTCGAGCCTCTGCGCCGAGCGGCTCCGTCAGTAGACTATGCCGGAGTATTGGCACCATGAACTTACCTTGAAGGTAGCCATTTCAGCCGGCCATCTTGATGTTTCTCAACGTTTTTCATAAGCTCGTCATCTCATTGTCCAGCTTACGTACAGATACACAGGATTTGTTTACACAGGATGTGCGGGTACATGAGCTGTACAGCCACGGTTACTACCCAATGCAGTACATCATGTGTACTGTCTGTACTGTACCTACAACTACATCCTTGGCCTGTCGAGTCGCAAGGCCCGGGGAGTTAGTGTGCAAGTCTGCCTCAAACACACACGCGCGCAGTCTAGAAGGTGCGCGCAGTGACGGCCACGCACACAGACTCAGTTGACACGTACACATACACGCGTGCTCACGCACAGAAACAGTGACAACATGACCCGATGATAATGACAGCTTCATGATGCAGGCCGGCAGTATTATGGTGAACTGACTGAACCAGGGAGTAGTACAATACATTTCCCTGCTCTACACCAGGGAGTAGTACAATACCATATATGGTATTGTACTACTCCCTGCTCTACACAGTCAGTACGAGACCTGTACCTGCATGCTTGTGCTTTCCTCACCGGCTGCACCTCGCGCGAGCTCGACGCGTCTTTTTGACAGCATATATTATTACGTGAATCACACGCACATACGTACAATATCCATATAAAAATCGCTCTGTGAGCGGTTCTGAAAAACCTTTACTGGTACTGCCCCGTCGTAAAAGTAAGAAATTAGAACTGGCCCATTGTCCCCCCAAATGCGAACTGATCCACCTAAATCGCGAATGACGGGACCCGAACGCACCAGTAGCACGAGGTCGGGAGGGCACAGGATCACGGCAATTATCATAGAGCTGTCCCTCCAGAAACTTGCGGAGACATTTCGGAAATATCGCGGAAAAAGTTGCGAGGTAAAATGCCACAAATTGCGGGGAATATTGCGGATTTTGTCAAATATTGCGGGATTATTGTGGTAAAATTGCGGAAATTGCGGCCGATTTTGGTACTTGTACTGTAGTGGTGTACGATGTACGAGTCGTACAGCATAAATCATGCATGACAAAGCAGAACGTACGTGTGCTGCGCTGACTGCGTTCAACTGCAAGACAGCTTTCCTCCATCCTAGGACAACACTCGACGCGAGCCTTATTTCGTGACTTGTCAGCCGCTGATTTGCCCAGAAACTTCGACATTCTGGTGTCGATCTCACAAGTAAACTACTGACGAGCTTGAAGAACTAAAGAACATCGAAGAAAGACCCCAATATCGCGGTTGCTTTTCGAAATATCGCGGTGTTCAAGTATCAAGGACAGTTTTCTACAATAACGCGGATGATTTTTCAAATATCGCGGATATCACGGACTTTTGTTCAAATCGCGGAAAACAACGCGGCCGCGGAATCGCAAGTTCCTGGAGGGACAGATAGAGTAACACCAGTAGTAGCAGTAGAATTTATTATTTTGATAGGGAAGCCTTCCGCTAGTACAGTACATGGCCATAGGTCCGGACCAACGTCCCCATCTGCATCCACAGGTAGGAACGTCGTGCTACTGGTGCGTTCGGGTCCCGTCATTCGCGATTTAGGTGGATCAGTTCGCATTTGGGGGGACAATGGGCCAGTTCTAATTTCTTACTTTTACGACGGGGCAGTACCAGTAAAGGTTTTTCAGAACCGCTCACAGAGCGATTTTTATATGGATAATTTCAGCTCTTTTTCCGTTCCCTCCCCACCCCAACTACACAAACATGTGTATGCACACGGCACACACACGTGGCCACGCACACATACGCACATGCACACGACACAAACAGGAAATTCTTCATGTATAATGCCATGCAAAGCAGTGGCCACCGTACTTGAGGAAGTCAGTTGTGAAACAAAAATAATTCAACTACAGCGTGTAGACAAGCTGACGGCCAAAGCACAACATAGCAAACATGACATTTGCCCAATGATTGCAGTTTGCAGACCATGCCATGGAAGCAGCGAATACAGAATGTAATATCATACAAAGTGACAAGCAAGGACGTGGCCATCATACACCAGAAACCTGCAGAAAGTCACATATCCAACAAATAGAGAAGTGAACAGCAATCTGATACAGCCCACACAGGACAAAGCGGACCTGATACTCGTCCCAGGATCGCAAGTGGCAAACCCTTTTCAATGCATAACATGCAGGTGTACGTTAGACGCATGAACATCTGACCGTGTCGCCAGCATACAATGTCATCACATGTTTACCCCACAAGTTACACACATGCACAGTAGAAGCACAATGAAAGCAATGGAAAAGTACGATGTGGTTGCTGAAGCATCTTCACACTTCAAATTCAGACTTCAATGTGGTCGTCACGGGATTATCATACAAAGTGACAAGCAAGGACGTGGCCATCATACACCAGAAACTTGCAGAAAGTCACATATCCAACAGATAGAGAAGTGAACAGCAATCTGATACAGCCCACACAGGACAAAGCGGACCTGTTACTCGTCCCAGGATCGCAAGTGGCAAACCCTTTTCAATGCATAACATGCAGGTGTACGTTAGACGCATGAACATCTGACCGTGTCGCCAGCATACAATGTCATCACATGTTTACCCCACAAGTTACACACATGCACAGTAGAAGCACAGTGAAAGCAATGGGAAAGTACGATGTGGTTGCTGAAGCATCTTCACACTTCAAATTCAGACTTCAATGTGGTCGTCACGGGATGATATACCTGCAAGATACAAGTGATGAAGAAAGAAAGCAGAAGGTCGTGAGGTAGGCTATGAGACACCACAAACGGTTCACCTACATGTCTGTTCAGGGCTAGTGCACTCACACGCAGAATTGTCATAATCGAGCATTTCCCAAACTGAGAAGTGCAATGAAATCCACTTGCATGCACAGGAGCAATTTTGCAATATTATGATACGCAATTCGACACGATCTGCGATGCTGCGTGCGATGTGCCCTGCTGTCATGATAGTGACAGTCACCGCCGTATGTTTTGTCAACGTCGCCCGTGCACTCTTCTGTCAAGTCCAAAGTGCTCACATACTTGGCAATGTTTTTGCAGTGATTAACTTTTATCCTAGTTATGTCACGGGTAACTTTAATGAAGTACCCGCAGGCCGTGTCGATCTGCACATCGTCCACTCTCTCATATACTTGGCCTGCTTTGTCTGTGTATCCATTTCATGTGCGATCCACAAAATCGACTAGACAGTGGGTGCAATACGCTCTCTACCTGAAGACGTTCTTCTGGCGACATCTCGCCATGTACTTGGCCTGGCTTTGTCTGTGTATTCATTTCATGTTCGATCAACAAAATCTCAATGCACTACAGAGACTAGACGGTGCAATACGCTCTCTATCTGAAGACGTGAACCATTTTAAAATAAAAATGTTTTGGAAAAGTTATACGTACACCTGAAACGTAAAGAAGTACAGGAATAGAGAGAGTGACTACAATACGCTCTCGACCTGATATAGTGATAACGTGAGTACAAGACACTCTCCACCTGATAATGTGTTAGAAGGTAACATGTCTACAGTCCCACCGTACCCTTCCGACACGACTGTAGACCATTACATTTTTTTGAGAAGTTATACGTACACCTTAAACGTAATGAAGTACAGGAATAGAGAGAGTGACTACAAGACACTCTCCACCTGATAACGTGTTAGTAGAAGGTAACGTAATACAGGTCTACAGTCCCACCGTACCCTTCATCATTCCTCATTCACCATCGCGCGATACCCTGGCACACACTGGCAACATATCAATGGGGTGCCTTACCGTCGTCTAGAGGAGACGTCTTCGCAGCAATATTTTCCCTCCTGCGCATTCAGTCGCCGACGCGACAGCGTTCACGGGGCCGTTCCAGCTGCGGAAGACATTCGATTCATCGGGCCAATTCAGCAACAGGGCCGTGGACACACAGGGGGCAGAAGAGAGACATTGTTAGTGGACAAGAAATATGCAGTGGCAAGTGGCGAGTGCCGCATGGATGTCAAGTTGTCATGCACAATTCAGCTATTACTTACGGTCCAGCTAGTCCTGCCATTGCTCGCTCGTCCTGGTTCCTCCTCGTTCGTCTTCCTGCACGTCTGCACTTCTCCTTCCCCACCGTTGGCTTTGCGGTACGGGGGTGCCGGAAGGAATTCCCACCATGTATCCATGTACATGAAGTCCCACCATGACTCTCCATGTACATGTCCACGGCCACGTCAGCAGTTTGTATAGTACCGGAAGGAGTTCCCACGATGTCTCCAAAGGCCTAGAGCGGACGTCTTTGCAGCAATTCTTTTCGCCCTGCGCATTCAGTTCGCCGACGATGTCTCCAAAGGCAAAGGCCTAGAGCCTAGTAGAGGGGACGTCTTTGCAGCAATTCTTTTCACCCTAGTACCCTGCACATTCACTCCGCCGACACGACAGCGTTTACGGGGCCGTTCCAGGTGCAAAAGGTCCACGTCAGCAGTTCTCAACTATTTCGCGTACGGGATAGTCGCCGCGACAGCGTTTAAGGGGTCGTTCCAGGTGCAAAAGGTATCCATCAATGGCACTTTGCAGTATGGGGTACGGAAAAGGGACCTCCTCGTTCGACTTCGTCGACTTCTGCAGTTCTCCTTCCCGTCAGGGGTACCGAAAGGGGCCTCCTCGCAGTTGTCCTTGCCGTCAGGTCCACGTCATGCAATTCTCAACTATTTCGCGTACGGGATAGTCGTCTTTGTCGTACGCGACATCGGCGTTTACCGAGTGGCATTGGCACAAAGCAGACCGTTGACGGGGTCACGTGTCAAAAAAGTATCAACAACGTGTCGACTAAGTGTCGACCACGTGTATAGCGGTACACTCAGCGGTACACTAATTCTCGTGCCATTCTCGTGTCACAAAACTGGAACATCGAGTACCAGTATGGAAAGGCTTCAGACAGGAAGCCTTTCCAATGTCATGTAGTCGGGGAGAAACTCGAACGACCAGCTATACCGGTAAAAGCCAAAAGTACAAATATTTTCAATTTTGTGTTGTTGCTCGCATGTTTTGTCAATTTTGAAGTCACTTCCCTGTTCCTGCTGTTGAGGAAGGTGGTTTAAAGATCATCTTCACATCTGATTTGCCACAGTAGTAGCCTCTATTACAAGCACTCTGATCGCGATGGGAGATGTCCAGGCAGCTAAAAGAGCTCTTCATCAAGCCCTCGGTAGCAAATGGGAAGAGTAAGTGAAACATTTGAGTACAATCTATTTCTGAAATTTTGTTTTGATTCAAAGTGTGCAAAAATTGCATGGAGTGGCTTTGCAGAGTGGAAATTCACAAGGCCGTTGTGCCGTTTACTGCGAACGTATTTTCTTTTTTTTGCACTACACGTGGGTTGGGTCTCTTCGCTTTCCTTGAAACCTTTAGGAAGCTGAAATGACGTATTCTGGAAATATGATTTGGGGGAGTGTGAAATGCTTCTGGAATGGATGCTTGTCTTACTTGAGCAATATCTATCACATAGAATAGCCTTCTCATATTCCAATTGATGACCATCGCGAGAAATTCATATGCTAGTACAAGTAGATGTCAATTCATATTGATTTTTTATAATTTTATAATCACACTCAGGCGAAAAAGCTGAATTGACATCAGGTTTCTGTTATATGCACATTGACAGACGATGTGAACAATGTAAAGAGAAAAGGACCTATACGTTACTAGTTATGACTAACAGTCCACCAAGGTAACGAGATAATGTACATGTACATAGCTAGTAACAATATACAATTGTAGGTCCTTTCTCTTTACATATGTCTATTGGCTCAGCATCCGAGTTTTTATTTAGCACACCTGATGTGAACAATGTGCATCAATGTAACAACTATAAAATTAATGTCAAAGGAGAAATACAAAAACAGTAAGCAGCAGCTTTCGGCCTGTTTATCAATAAAGTAATTCTACCTCCACCAAACGCGCTCTCTGGCCGACCTCATCACACCAGCAACATAACTCCAGCTGCTGGGCCAGGTTGTAGATAGTCTAGATACTGACAAAGGAATATGTAGTGATTTTTTTAATATTTAAACAGTGGCAAATGATTCGAAAACGTTTTGCACAACAATCCGGAACTGCTGCATGAATGATTCAGTAATGAACTTCGACTCGACTGCTTCTTTCCGTTCAACTTTCCCGAAAGTTCGACTGCTCCGCCGACTCTCGAACCCAGTAGTCGAGAACGTATTCTGAAATTCAAGATGCAGAACTTCTTTATTGCCAACGAATGACAGAACTTTGAAAAGCTATACTGTTGCAAGGGTCTGCACAGAAAGCTTACAACATAAGCAGACACATCCATTCGTATGTGCAAACGGAAAGCATGGAATTATACGTGCCAAAAAAATCACAACTAAACCGAACAATGATGCTGCTGCAAGAGTCTGCAAAATTCTTTCGAAAAATACACCTACATATCCACACACAATGCTGATAGAAATGAAAAAAATGCATAAGCAAAGGGGCCGAAGTACAAAGGGAAGTCACTGAACAGATAACGCGGGTGAACGAAGTATCATAATTCTGATTATAGTGCTGCAACAAATAGAAGGCTAACGGATGCTGGACTTCACGAACAAATACCAACTATTCGATGAGCGCCACAACGCCCATTCTCATGGGTTTCCAGGAAACGTACGAGAAGACTTCGCGTTAGCTTCTGGCATATTGAAAGATAGAGGTCATGCCCCGACGACATCTTACAGCTAGCCATGTTGATGAGCACGTTCCGCAGCTTGATTGCCAGCTTCTCCAAGGCGCTCCAGTCCATTGTTTGTTGAGATTGCTGGCTGTGGAGCCGTTGTACGACAGTACCTTTTCCGCAGGCAATGAACGACGCTCATCGCTTGTCACCGTCCAGTCTCGCTTTGGTGAAATTCGCCCAGACACCCTAGATCTCTCTGCGACAGCTGGCAACGGCTGACACTGATATGAACTAACCCAAGACTGCATGCTTGTACATGGGTGACAGGAATTACTTAGATGTTCGAATGAAGGAGAGATGGGAGAATGTGTGACTTGGAGAAAGCGAGGAGCTTCTTAACACTGTCTACCCAGTGAGCAGACCTCTCCACATGCGCAAACACAGTCTCCGACGGGGTCGGAATGATCGGGTCGCGCATCCACCTACCGGTAAGTAAGAAGTTTCTCTGAATATGATGGAAGTACTTTAAACCTATGTCTTTGTGAAGGTCAAGGGCAAAAGACTTGCCAGGTTTGAGTAAGAAAAAGCCTTTAGGATTGGCAGAAAGAACGTCCAGATAAGTAGATCGTGCAGAATAAGAACATTTCCCGTCTATATTAATTAAATGTTGTCACCGCTGACAATGCCATCCAGAGATCTACCCAGGAGGCCGTTGGAGTAAAACCAGTTTCCAGACACTCTGAAGTCCTCGTCGTCGGTCTCACGATACAATGCGCTGGCGACAGGCTCATGTCCCACGCCCCACTGAACTGCACGGCAGCCAGATGCGTCCTACTGTCCATGTAGAGTTTTGAGAAGAGACTTGGGTTGCTTCCATGATGAATTTGCTGCTTTGATCACGGGGCCTAAGTTGGACGCTGTGATTCTGCCCCGCCTGTGCGCGGACCACTTGGGGTTCTTTGCCTGGCCACGTGTGATTTTCTCTATCTGTATTACATGGTCCGGTGACACAGCCAAGTTGTGCACCATCGATGTAATGCCATCCGGCTGCGTGGCGTAAGCCTTGGTCAAGAGCAGTGAGTCAGCGGTGGCAACACATACACACACACACACACACACACACAAACAAACACACGCACGCATGCATGCACACACACACACACACACGCACACACACACACACACACACACACGCACGCACTTGGTTGCTTTCGTGGTGGATCCTGCTTGGATCCTTATCACTCGGGATGATGGAGATCTTCTCAGCAAACCGCTTTCTGTCCTCATCGCCTTTGTCCTCATCGCATCCCAGTCTACTAGAACCTGTTCAAACGGAGCATGATGAGGGGAAGCGACAAGTTCACCCGTAGCGGGTTCAACAGCTTGCGGCCAGTATGACAAAGTAGAAGCAACTTCTTTGATTGATAAGAAGCTGCTGCAGATTCACCATTGGAGCACCAACCCGCTGCAGGTATGGATGAAGACACGGACACCCCCAGTTATGGTCACCACAAATTTTAGAATAGAGAAAGTGCACACACAAACACACACACACACACACACACACACACACACACACACACACACACACACACACACACACACACATGCATGCACAACTGTTGATAAGTAATCTTTCAAATTTTCAATCCGATGTCTTCTCCTTGTACCTGTTCTTATTTCGTGTTCCTACTGTGCTTAGGTACTGGGCATTGCTTCGTCAGTGGTTCCGCAAGCAGGTTAGTGTTCCTCTGCATGCTGCCGTGCTCATTCACATGTACCGTAAAGTACCGCCAGAGCGCCCCACCATCTCGTCCTTTCGTGGTCGTATTGTGGAGGTGGTCTGCTGTCTGTATGTCATACGACACGAACCTTGTACACATATTCCACGATTTGCAGTCAATCCGTACCTTCGAGCGGACACAAGCTCCACACAAAAACCTGCCAAGTGTGCCCTTAGTACACTAAGGTTCTCATATCGTACAAACTAAGTTAGTTACTTCGTTGCACTCTGCCATACGACTTTCCTTTCCCTGGCTGTAAAATCAAGGTGGGGCGCTCTCGCGAGACGGGGCGCTCTCGCGAGACGGGGCGCTCTCGCGAGACGGGGCGCTCTCGCGAGACAGGGCGCTCTCGCGAGACGGGGCGCTCTCGCGAGACGGGGCGCTCTGGCGAGACGGGGCGCTCTGGCGGTACTTTACGGTACTAGTACAGTGGTGGCGACTGACATCCAACTCTCACACTGCACCAACACAGCATGCGACCACGGCAACCTCAAAGCATGAACAGTGCATGCACATCTACAACTGCTGCACTGAGCTGTATGCATGCCGTGTCTTGCAGTTACACCAGGAACACTGGGGAGGAGGGTCACAATCCAACAGTACACACTCTGTGCATTGCAGCACCTTGTCAAGTTGGTGGGAGACACTAGGACACGTAGCACAAAGGCCACGCAGACGATTTCACGGTTGATACATTGGTGATATATGCACAAGCAAACTAGTACTTTATCTGGATTTCCAGGTGGTCAGAGCAGTGACAAATTGGCACCTTGGGGGACTCAGACAGCACCAGTCACATAGTGGAGCTGGACATACACATCATAACATAACACAATATCACCTATGTATGATCATGCATGGTGGTGGCCTGGCACAAGCGAAACTTTCTAAGCTGGTTGTGTTTCTTAGCGCAATTATAGAGCCGGTAGTAACGCGAACGTGTGAACTTTATTTTTTCTCTCTCGTTGTACAGTAGGGACTACTGTACTGTATTGTTAGATCAGTGACAACGTTCACACAAACGTCTTATAGTGAGCACGCAACAAATTTGACCTGGCTGTGCTGGAGGCAGTGTCTATTGCTGAGCTGACATCTGAACTGGGTGTACAGATCCCCAGAGTCTTCACTGCTACTTGTGCTAATACCATATCTCTGGCAACAGATCTCTTATTGGCGATGATGCCATCGTGAGAATAAAGAATTGAACAACAGGGCCCATGGCCGATCGTAATTGTTGATTCGAGTCTTTTCCTGCACCAAGCAGAATTTTTATGTGTGCTTCTGTGCATACACACCGGTACATGCGTATGAATTTGTATGTGTGTGTGTGTGTGTTTTCATGCGTCTGTACATCCGTGTGTGTGTGTGTGTGTGTGTGTGTGTGTGTGTGTGTGTGCGTGCGTTCGATCGTGCGTGCGTGTGTGTGTGTACAGATTAGCAAGCAGCAGTTAGATAACAGTGTCAGGGCTCTACTAATGACACGTGGTAAGTCATCTGTACAGTGTGTACCTGTCCGTCTGTAACTACTACTTGCATGTATCTTGTAGGCATGCTGGCAGATTGTGTCCAGGAAACAGTTATCACCCAGAGAGCGGAAGAATTTGTTAACCAACCACCTGTGGCAATGCAGAGGTTGAGCACAGCAATAAATCGTAAGGCTTGGACGTAACCGGCTAGAGTAATGGAAGTTTACATGAACTGTCAGTAACTTTCAACCAAAAAAGAGCTCAACAATAAAAACACTATGAAACCTACCTTTGTGATCCTGACCGCGCTGCAAGACAGTGGGGTGCGCTACCTGCTTACTGTCGTACACTAACTGTTCATGTGTGACTCCCAAAATCCAAGTAACCGGAATGAATTCCTTTTGCTCTCTCTCTCTCTCTTTCTCTCTCTCTCTATCTATCTATCTCTATCTCTCGCTCGCTCTCACTCACTCACTCACTCACTTTCTCTACAGTCTCTCTGCACACGGACTTCATGCTGTCCATACTGCGCCACTGCCAAAGTGGAGGTAATGGCATTAACGTTGTGTCTCCAGTTGGGGCACAGCAGCAGCGTCCGGCCCAGTCGGGTGAGTGGTGATGGCTTGTTGAGCTGCTTTTGTGTCATCATTGCTGCACTGACTCTTGTGTTAACGCTTAGCTTAGGTCAAATTGCATGGTTCCTGCTTTTTGTCAACCAAGTTTTGGGAGGAAAAAATGTTACGAGTTATGACTAACTGTCCACCAACGTAACCAGATCTTATACAGTCAGCAAGTGCGACAAAATGGCACAAAACTGACAAGGAGTACTGAGACATTCGGCGACCTGACACCTAGCTCCAACACTTCTCCAAGGCGCAAACCAACAACCTTCCAACTTGGAAGGCACAGGTTCGGAAAGGTCCAAGAGGGGAAGGAAAGCGCAACGAAGAAGAGCACGAGCTAAACATCACGGCAACAAAGAATGCCGAAAGTTACTGGACGATGACGAAACTAGTAAGACTATTGGACAGACCGGCCTTACTACAACTCGATGACGCAAAGCAACAGACCACCCAACTTGGGAGGCTCAAGTTTATGTAATAAACATAGAAGGGTAGTAGATAGTGGAATTCAGTAGGATGTTGGCGTTTCGGTTTGTCACAATTCGTCTTCGCTTAGCTTCCCCTTCTATGTTTATTACTAGGGCTGAAACGATTATACCGAATAATCGAGTACTCGTTTGATAACTCTAACGATCGAGCAATCGTTTAGATTACCGATTACGATTATTTTGCGTTTTTTAAATTTGTGTCAAGAAAGTACTGTAAACCCTCGTTTTGTGAAGTTTGAATCAGTTTCCGCTGGGAGTATGCAGTTGCCAGGGGTATGGTTCATGTTCTGAGGTTAAATTGACTTCAAAACTGCCATGTTTCGGAGCTACCCTTTCACTAATGCAGATTTGTTGGTATTATGAAGGCATACTTTGTGGAAACAGTAATGTTTGCACAGAATTATGACTCTATTTGCTAACGATTATAATCGAGTACTCGATCGTTAAGCTAAAGAGTAATCGATACTTGAAAATCCACGATCGTTTCAGCCCTATTTATTACATAAACTTGAGCCTCCCAAGTTGGGTGGTCTGTTGCTTTGCGTCGTCGAGTTGTAGTAAGGCCGGTCTGTCCAATAGTCTTACTAGTTTCGTCATCGTCCAGTAACTTTCGGCATTCTTTGTTGCCGTGATGCGTAGCTCGTGCTCTTCTTCGTTGCGCTTTCCTTCCCCTCTTGGACCTTTCCGAACCTGAGCCTTCCAAGTTGGAAGGTTGTTGGTTTGCGCCTTGGAGAAGTGTTGGAGCTAGGTGTCAGGTCGTAGAATGTCTCAGTACTTCTTGTCAGTTTTGTGCCATTTTGTCGCACTCGCTGACTGTATAAGTTCTGGTTACGTTGGTGGACAGTTAGTCATAACTCGTAACACTTTGTCCTCCTTTTTTCCCCATAATTTAATTGGCTCACTGTCCGAGTTAAAGTTTTGGGAGTTCAGGATACAAATAAATGAGGTCGGTTGCCTGGTGATCACGACAGTTTGCAACAAACATTTCCTTCCTTCTCTCTTGTATGTGTGATGTAGTATTTAGGCAATTTATGTAACACGGTACTAGTACTTGCCTCATTCTACCTATCCAATCTCATGATCCTCTCTTTCTTTTGGTCGTCTACCTAGGTTCTCGTTCTCGTGCCAAGGTGACGAAGACTAGCGGAGCAAGTACTGCAGCAGCCAGCACGCAAGCCAGCGGCGGTGCAGAGCGTGCCAGTGGCAGCGCCAGTAGCGGCCATAGTACTACTAGCAGTACTAGCAGCACTAGCACCGGCAATGGTGTTAGCAGTGGCCAGGCTGCACCAGCGGCCACCACCATCACCACCACCTCTGCTGCTGCTGCTGCTGCTGCTCGCACTGCTACAGACTCCAGCGCTCAGCAGTCAAGTAGTGTGGTCAGTGTTCATCGGAAGAAGGTAAGATCCCGCATTCATTCATGGTTCTTGCCACGTATCTGTTCTGATGAGGCCTATATATCTCCAGCATTGTGCAATTCTTGCCACGTAATATATGTATGGCTCTGTGCCGACGTCTTTGGACATTGGACAGAGAGATAGCTCGATGTGTTTACAGATGGAAACAGCTAGAAAAGGTCAATGTCTTGTAGATTGGTTGTGACTAGCAACTGACAAGCTGGTGATATAGGTCAACTGTGAATGTTTGGTTGATCCTGGATGTTGTCGGGTGGTGCATGGTCTGCTATTTCTATTGCCAGCTAGTTCGGTTGGTGGGTACACTTATGCCAGATAGTGTTGGGCCTGTTGCCAACGGGCTTGGCTGCTTGAAGGTGTATTGTTGTACCTACCACCTTTGTTGGTTTCAGGGTTCATATACTTTCTATTTGAAGTATACATACCTGTTAACCATGGACTGCTTCTGGCTAGATTAACTCTTGTGTAATCAATGGTGCTAGTGAAGCTTGTATCAGATCCACTCTGATTTAACCACCCACACTAGTACCAAGTATTACCTTCACTGGGGGCAGGGGGTACCTGCAGTTGGATCCCGGGACGGATACCCTGATGCCGTCATTCCTTTTTCTGCACCTTGTCCTCACCCACTTACTGAGGTGTGGTGAGCCCATAAGTGGGATCATTTCAAATCCACCCTAGTTTGGGGATTTCCGGGGGTGTCGGCCGTTGGGTGGTTCAATGGCCAATTGAGTCATCTTTCCAAGATTCCTTTTGAGTCTCTCTCCCCTCTCCCGGGGAGACCCACGTGACCAGTTTTGGCAGTGAGCAAGTACAAGTACAAGTACAAGTAAGTACATTTCTATTGATAGAGGAGTTGAAGTTCTCTTCCTTGCCTTCTTTTTTGTCAATGGTTTTGTGTAGAATGCGTTTACTCGCTACGCACCGTACCCACTGCAAAACTTCAAGGCAGGACTGGTATGTAGTATGTAGCACCTAGCATGCGTGTGTGTGTGTGTGAACGCTGCAATCGCTGCTTCAAGTCCCGGGCTGGTTTTAACCGCCATAACTGCAACCGTGGAAAACGTCTTGCTGCAGCCGATAGGGAATCACTGCCGCTGATCTGCATGCATTGCCCAAAGCGTTTCCGACGACAGCAAGACTTGACGAGGCACCAGAAGTCCTGCCAATGATGGTGCCTTCCAAACTCTGGCCCCCTCCGGGGGTGACACTGCACATGAATATGTCATAGTTTGATGCAATGCATGTACCACATTCTTCTTTCTGCTCTCTTTGTCGCTCACTCTCTCTCTCTCTCTCTCTCTCTCTCTCTCTCTCTCTCTCTCTCTCTCTCTCTCTCTCTCTCTCTCTCTCTCTCTTTCTCTCTCTCTATGATATGCCCAATACAGAAGTGCGATACGGATCAGCTAAGAGCAGGTGAGTGGCAAGATGACACCGGTAAAAACTTGTCACAAACATTACAGGCCGCGCTGTCCTTCTGCCCCTGCCTGGACCCTAGCTACTGGTGCCAGTGGTCTGCTTGTGGAGGCTGATGTGCAGTAGCTGTGTTGTGTTGATGGTTGTATGTACAATTGCGCTCGGTGAAATCCGATCCGAAGTGCAAAGCTGGCGCCCTGGACTAGTTCTGACTTCCTCATTGCAGTTGTACGTCTGTACGTCTGTACGTCTGTACGTCCAGCCGCATTCGTGCCACTTCCATGGCGTCAAGGACGTGCAAGTTGAGGGCGCCAACTATGTACTCTGGGTCGGATTTCACCGAGCGCAGCTCTATGTATATCTTAGAGTACTGTTGTCTTCATAATTTGTGATGGGTGTGTTCATTGCTTACCACTGTACATGCTGTGTGTGTCTGTGTGTGTCTGTGTGTCTGTGCGTTTTCTTTTTGTAGCACATCAAGCCAATTGGCGGCCCTTGTACCACCGGTTTCTGCCCAGCTTGGACCAGCTAAAAGCCAGATTGCGCATTCATACCCTCAGTTCTGGCTTGGAATCGGCTGACGATGGAGTCGCAGAGATGGTACTCTCTGCTTTAGAGGTGGGTTTGTAACTTTGCATGTCCATGTGCCTGCCTGCCTGCTGCATGCACTGACCGAATCCGTTCATGTTCCTGATGTCTCGGAAACAAAAACACACCCACATAGGCACACATAGGGCCATACTCATTTGTGCATGTACGCGTGCATGCATATGCACACACACACACGTGCACACACACACGCACACACACACGGAACAAGGGATCAATGATCTGCAGGCGCGTAGCCCGCATGGGGCACAGGGACGTGCACCCTGCTAAAAATTTCGACCTAGGTCCAGTATGCACGTAATGACCATGATGACATGCACCAGCCATCCTACACATACGTATGGTATTCGAACTTCGAATACAACATATTCCGCAAGAATATTTTGGTAAAGCGGCCGTGCATACCCCCCCCCCCAAAAGGGGAACCAGCTACGCTCCTGGATCTGCCAGGTATATTTGGCCAAGATCCCTGGCATCTTCAGTGGGAATGTGTGCCACTTCAGTATAGACCTGCTGCTGCTGCGTAGTGTGGCAGCTGTAGTACTCTTTGGTAGCCTTGGAAAGGCCAAGGATCATGTGCATCCGAATATCCGCAATGTGATACAAAGTCACGTGGAATATAATGTTATGTGGTAACAACTGTTCTAAGGACTCACAACTGCTTCAACTGTACTTGGTGGCATGAATAAGTTCCTGTGTTTCTGTGTTGCTGCCTCAGACACACATCAAGAATGTGCTGACAGCGGTATCTGAGCAGACCTTACGGTCATCAATACCTGATCTCTCGGATCATGACTACGTGAAGAAGCCGTCCTTTCTCAACCCCCATTGCCCGTGAGTTGACAGGACGTGCTGCTCCAGTGTGAAACCACTGGCAACACCACCCATGCACTGTATGACACATGCTGCTCCGTGCTGGTCCGTGTTGTTTCGAATCTTAATTCTCACGATAGCCAGTGTTGTTGTTGCTGTTGCTGTTGTTGTTGTTGTTGCTGTTGCTGTTGCTGTTGCTGTTGCTGTTGCTGTTGTTGTTGCTGTTGCTGTTGCTGTTGTACTATCCGTGCCTGCCCTACAGTTGTAAGTCACTGTCGCTTGTCTTGAGGAGCTTGTACACGTTGGGCACTCTAGCAGTAGTGACTACACCCAATTTCCAAAACTTGCTCCGATCGCTTCGATTTTGGTCTCATTCGATTCTTCCAGGCGTTGTACATAGGAAATCTGCAAGTATTATTCGAATCGGCCCAGCCATTCTTGAGTTATAGTGATTTGAAGTGCGCCAAGTTGGACTTTTGCTGGAAACAGAAATGAATGGGAGTGATGGGAGAATCGAGAACGACCGCACAGTCCGTGCATGCAGTACAGTGTACAGTGCACACGCCTCGTCACTCGAACTGTGCGTACGAAATTGCATAGTTTGGTATGCTGGCGCAGAACAAATTCGCTCGTAGAGGAAGACGAAAGCGTCTCACCGCCTTGTGATTTCACATGGCCAGTAGTTTTTCGACGCTGAGGACGATGGAATAGTCCGCGACGCTGCGACCCGACCAGAACAGCCCGGAATTCATACCCTGAAAAAGCGCTGAGCGCAGAGCTCCTAAATTCTGTCGTATGGAAACGGGACTTCGGGTCTCAAGGGCACGAACATCTCCTCTCTCAGATAAAGCAATTCACTCGATGCGATATTCTACAATTTGACCTGGCCACGCCGAAATGCACTGCCATGTCGGATTCTTCCACCGGAAGTATAGAAACTTGTTTCCAAAAAAGCGTCTGGGTGCGAGGGAGCTAAGTCACTACTAGCAGTACTACTGCATTTTCTGCTAGTCTTTGCATTCGGATGAACCATTCCATTGTTGCTACCTTGCTGGGTGGGTGTGGGTGTGTTTTGCTTCAAACCTCCAGTTGATTTATATGAAGAGAATGTGCAGGGATTGTGTTTGACTGGCGAATGATCTATTGTGATTGTATGCTCAGCTTGCCAACTAACAGAGACCTACGAGCGCTGTCGGCGATGTCGACGGATAGCAGTCGGCCTTGTCGTGATCAGAGCTTAGCACTGCCGCTGCCCTTCGCCAAGCACAGCGGCAATGCAGGACACCGCAGTGGTGCTGGCAGGCATTCAGTGCATGGTGTTGAGCAGCGTATCCGTACTCTGGACGTGTACAATGCCGCCCAGGTAAGATCTGGTGGAATTTTGCATGACACATTGTTGGTACTGGTGTCGACATTGAGTCCATGTTCACTCTATCACACGTGCTGAATTGATCATCTCGAAAGCTCTGTAGAACATGTTGTTTCCCTTGCACCTACCCCTCTGGACCCACTTGCACATGTTTTTATGTTTCCTGTTGTGTTTACATCTGCTGGGTCATGCGAGCCGAATTCCCCTTTTTTGCAAATGTTCTGGCTGTGTGAACTGATGGAAGTGCCGGATTCAGCTTGATCATAGTGCTGCTCCGCTTGCATGCCTCTGTGTGTGTGTGTGTGTATGTGTGTGTGTGTGTGTGTTTGTGCATTCCTGTTTGTTTTTGCAGGGCAATATGTCTCTGTTTGGTGGTCGGTCGGTAGCCATGCCTCTAATGCATCGACTGCATGCCATGCTTTAGGCAAGGTACAGCAACTCTTTTTTCCATGCCACTCGGTTCGAACGACGGTTTTACCCTTTTCATCGTTAGTCCCGTTACTGTGAAGTCTCCGTTGGCTTTTTATCTTTTTAAAAAGATCACTCCTGCTCTATTAACGACTAACAACCGGGTCTCAATTTGCGATCCAAGGTGAAGTTTTAGCCCAATGAAGGGTTTTTCTATTGGAGTTTGAGTTCTCCTTTTCTTTTATAGTCCTGTTTTTAGCATGTGTGTCAGCTGTTTCTTAGTCTCTCCCTCGCTGCTGCCTCCCCCCCCCCCCCATCTCTCTCTGGGGGCCTGATTTCTATCAGTGTGGTGCAAGGGGTTCACATACTGCTCTAGTGCAGTATATGTTGCTGTTCTCAATTGTTGTTCAGCATATTTATTGGTGCTCCTGTTATGATCAGGCACACGTGTGCGTGATTAGCCAAGCACACACGCGGTTGATTAGCTGGTGGCTCTTGAAGTCTTCTTGTCAAGTCTTGTTGTCCGCAAGTGTTGATTATCCTCTTTTTTAACTTATTGCAAATTAGTCGGCATTTTTCTTTTTTTTCCTTTCACCTAGACCGATCATTATACCATAGTACTACTAAGTATTTGAAATTTCTTTTCTGAACTTCGCTCAATGTCAATTAAATGTGCATTTTGTTATTGGTCTCCTCCTCTGGAAAAACCTTTCCCATCTACAAGTGTTCTTGGCTTGATGAGCGCCGCCCCAGCGAATGTTTTGCTGTGCAATAACTTGTTGGAGTTTTATTACAATTTTATTGGCTTGGCATGGTGTGTGTGTGTGTGCGTGTGTGCGTGTGTGTGTGTGTGTACGTCTGTGAGTGTGTGTGCGTGGGTGCGTTTCATCTTTGCTTGGTTTCATGACGCAATGCTTCATCATGCTGCATCGTGTCACGAAACCAAGCAGTAGTTGAAGAGATAAAGCCAAGACTTATGACTTGAAGCTTTCTGTTGTACCCAGTCAGACAAAAAAACAATATGGCCATGCATGAAGGTTGTCTTCACCCCAAACTGAGCAAGTGACTCAGTGATCTGACTGGGCTTCAGATCGGTTATAGCCTATATAGGTAGCTGGTACTCACTCGTATTGTAGTGTACTTCAAAGAAGTAGAATTATTTTTATTTGAATTCGCAAGTACAGATGGGCTACATGATTGTACAAGCCCGATTACATGAAAGCGGCCAATGAAAGGAGGAGGAAGATCAATGCTGTATACCGTGTGCCATCGTCCGACAAGTGGGTGTCTGTGAGCTGGTTGAAGTCCAATTCACAAAATTGGTTCAGCTATGATTCCCCCGCTGCCTGCTCTAAGATGTTCACTACTGCCGCTATGTAGTGGTCATGGTGGTGACCAGAGGCTAGCCTATGCAGTTTCCGTGGTAGACACCAATAGTGTTATTGTGAACTACATGTACAGCCACGGATTCATACCCAACCGGTTTGGGTACGACTCCCTGATCGGGCAGGGGGGAGGGGAGAGGTAACCTCTGGTAGGCCCAAACCAAAATTAATAAAAGCCGACAACGTGACAGTGACATAACCTCGATCTGGACTCAGCAAGGACATGTCCTGTACCCAGTAGATCTCCGTCTATATGACTTTATTTTGCCCGTAAAAGAGGCCGTTACCCCCGGAAAAAAAAGTAGACCTCCAATGTGCAGACGCGTAGCACCGGCATTGGAGGTGGTCCGGCCGGAGGGGGTCGAGGGGTTTCCAGCGGGAATTTTTTTGAAATTAGGGTGCAAAATCCTGCATTCTGGGCACTTTGGCATTGTGTTATTTTAAAAAAAGCGGTCCGGCCAAAACCCGGACCGGCTGCTACGCCGCTCCTGAAGTGTACAACCAGAATGCAGTTGAACATTTCAGTGTCAGATTCAACACAGTTTGACCATTATTTTCATGATGTCCGAACACGACCTGTCATCATTCCGGGTAGATCGACTACTGTATACTAGACAGACTCGACGGTGCATAAAACAGGCGCTAGCGCTACGGACTATTGTCAGATACATACCCAAACCACTCCCACTACGAACATGTCTAAACCACTCCTGCTAGTGCTGCATAGTGTTACTGTCGACATATCGCATATGTCAGGTCACGCTGTGGACAATGAGTAGCCTGTCATGATTCCGAATGATGGTTCTGCACATACTAGAGATCTAGAGAACTAGCAGCTGCTACTAGTAGTAGTACTGACAATAGTTGGAAGTGTTTACTGTTTTGGTCACTTTTTCAATTGTTTTGTTCAGCGTTTGTGTTTGTATGATCGAACGAACCCTCAGAGCTGTTACATCGAACAGTAATATATGACTAATAATCACTAGTACCGGTAGTGATAAGAGCGTGGGCCATCATGGAACCGTCAGCGAAGGTAGCGCGACCAGGTGAGCTGATGCCGCTAGCTATGACATGTATCATGTATGAGTACACCAGTACAATTTAAACAATACTCACGGTAAAATAATGGATGGGACTTTGAAGTAATTAGTTTGATTCTGCAATCTGGTCCAGTACAGTCAGTGCGGACACCGGTATAAAGAGGGCAAGTGCCCATGTACAAGTACAAACCTATGCCAGTATCAAGTTCTTTTTGCAAATGCTCACCAGAACTTCAAAAATACTGACTCAGTTGTCACAAGTGCCCCATGCACTATGAATGATAATCATGAACACATGCACAGAGCTAGCTGTCCACTAGTTGTAGCTAACTCTGTTCATTTAAAAAATTATTTCGTTGCATTTATTATTGAATAAACGACGAGGACACAACAATTTCAGTTCCGCAATCAATAAGACAAGCTGAATCGACATTTTAAAAATGTTGTGTACACTTCATATTCGTGCAGCACGGTGTAGTCGGATTTCACTTGTGTTACCTGAAGATTTAAAAAAAAAACACAAATGCCCCAGAGCTACCAACCATCGGTACGTGTTCGTCCGTGTTTGTACATGTACGGAAATGCCCCTCAGGTCCACTGTTCCCAGTATAAGGCCAAGTAAAAATAATTGATTGTTGATCGTCAGCGCCCGCCCCGATTTTTCGGTCCGTCCCGGGATTTATTTTATTTTTTATTTTCGTGATCAACGGTAGAAAACTCGTGTGTTAAGCGAAATCCGAACTTTTTTAGCAGTACGAGCGTATGCGAGCTCTCATGTACAGCTTCAACGGTGCTTTTACCGTAGCGACATCACGCAGTGCAGTGTGATTCCAGTGTAGTTGTGTGAAATCTGGCAACTACAATACATGGCACTGTAGTGTAGTCTGTACAGTGTACCACCTGATATCTACGCCTGCATTCATGGAAACTGCGCAGCCACCGCGTATCACAGAGTCATCTGCACATGTTCAAAGTGTGCCCAGGCAGACTGGTAGCAGTCACAACCAACAATGGTAGTACACCCATATCCCCATAGATGTAATACATGCTAAGATTTCAAGATGTCCGGTCGATGCAGATAAAAAAAAAGTTATAAAATAAAAATAAAACCCTCCCGTCCGCCCCGATTTTTCGGAAAATTCTGACGATCAACAATCATTTTTTTTACTTGGCCTAATATGACTTGTGTGATCTGTTGTTGTTGTTGTTGTTGTTGTTGTTGTTGTTGTTGTTTCTTTATTTTCTGGAAGTCAATGAAATGCTTGCAGACATGCTATCAGATCTGATAGCATGTCTGCAGCTCGTTGAATAGAGCACACTTGAGTAACTCGTAGACTGAACTGTACGACGCCATTCACAGTCTACTGGCACTGGCAGATGCATAAGTCCAGAAGGTGTTGTACGAGCGTGTTATGTGAAGCGCAGGCTGTCTATTCAACACACGGCACCGCCTCGCAGCGTGAACAGCCGGAAAAATCAATCTTGTGCAATATAATTATGGAAAATAACTCTGTGCTCTGCTGGGGAGACCTAGCAAGGTCGAAACTTCTAGCTGTCCGGGGATTGAGCGGAAAATATGCCACGAAATATACGAACCCAATGGGTGGAGCACCCCCAGCGCAAACAAGTGCGTTGCCAAACTGGCGTAGCTGCAGCCCGAGCATACCGTTCCCTGTGTATCGGCACACGACCAACACAATGTCACATCACATGATGGTGTTTCAAGCATCTCAACTACAAGTCTGTCCCGGGCCTGCACAATCAAGCATATCCCTTCAGGACCACCCTAGCCTTCCATACTTTGTGTATGATATAATATGCAGGGTGTAGTGGTAACACATGACCGCTCAGCAGTAAACACACGTTGGTGGCCAAAAAGTTGGTCCGGCCATGGCCTGACCGACCGGACCAGTTCTACCGGGCCTGCCCTACTATTTACAAGTATCTCATGTATCTCATGCTCAGTTCATGCTCAGTTCATGCTCAGTTCGACTGTAAGAAACACTGTAAAAGGATTGTCATCTACTAAGCCCAGGTGACTCACACACACACACACACACACACACACACACACACAAACACACACACACACACACACACACACACACACACACACACACACAACTGCAGTGCTAAGAAACGATGCTGTTCACCCTTTGCTATGCCCTGTGGCTTAGAACCCCTACTGTCTAGGTTGAACAACGGCGAGAATGTGCTCTGCGCCGAAGGCTATCTGTTTGCATTTGAGCGGCAAGGCTACCTCACAGCCGGTTCATTCGTGCCGGAGGTTGTCATCGAGTATCCTCACCTGGTGAAGCAGATGCACCTTGACTTTGTACGAGCCGGTTCGGATGTTGTGGAAGCGTTCACAGTAAGTGTGTGTATGAGTCACGGTCAGGCTCAAATACGGTGTGTTACATAGGCTTTTGACTCAATGTACCGGGGTAGCTGAACGCTTGTACCCTATTTGGCAACTCGCATCACGTGACCCATCAAGCCTGCCACGTGTGGCAAGTAGCCGGCGACGGAAGCGCTGACTCTAGCCAACGAGCGTTTGCTGCGACACAAGCGTTACATAGACGGGTGTGCATGAAATATTGATGTCTACCTCCAATGGTGCCTATAACTCTGTATTATCTCCAAGTTACCCCCCCCCCCCTGTCCCATACCCATTCACCTCTAGTGGTCGGCACGTACCAATAGTGTCTCGACAGGGGAAAGAAACTTACCTCGGTACCCGGCATGTAGCAGAAGTATGAAAAGTAGCTGTTTCAAGTTTCTGCTCATCCTACCAAGCTTGTTGCTGTGTGGCTGGAAGTCTACTGATCACTGCACATTGTTTGTTAAACCTTCAAAGTTCCACCATTGCCGTACGATTCTCTCTCAATCTCTCTCCCTCTCTCTCTCTCTCTCTCTCTCTCTCTCTCTCTCTCTCTCTCTCTCTCTCTCTCTCTCTCTCTCTCTCTCTCTCTCTCTCTCTCTCTCTCTCTCTCTCTCTCTCTCTCTCTCTCTCTCTCTCTCTCTCTCTCTCTCTCTCTCTCTCTCTCTCTCTCTCTCTCTCTCTCTCTCTCTCTCTCTCTCTCTCTCTCTCTCTCTCTCTCTCTCTCTCTCTCTCTCTCTCTCTCTGCATTCCTCTCTTTAGTACTATGCCCATCGGGAGAAGTTGCGTATCATTGGACGTGAAAATGATCTGGAGCAGATGAACAGATCGGCACTCAGAATAGCCAAGGATGTGGCGACCTCCACTGGAACTCTGATGGCTGGCAACATTTGCAACACAAACATTTACGATCCAACCGACCCGGAAATGATCGAGAAGTCACGGGGAATCTTTGAGGAGCAGGTCAAGTAAGTATTGCGGCTCGCTGATCTGTGTGTGTGTTTGTATGTGCATGTGTATAATGTGTGTGTGTGTATGTATGTGCATGTGTACAGAAATTGATGTTGCTCAATTTCTGTTGTAGCATTCTTTGAAAAGTGATCTGCTAAGCTCTGTGACTCCAGCATGCAGTACACTGTTCAAAACGGATCGTTTATGCGACAGTGCTGCCGCATGAAGGCACAAGGCCGTTGTCGCAGAAGTTGACCTAAGTTCAACATTTGTGACGTGTGACACACATCAATGGAGTGTACTAAGCTGGGTACACATGCCTGTACCGTCTGTACTGCGTATGAATGCCACACAGAAACAAACCCAAAGTTGAAACTTGTGAAACATGTGTCCCAGATGCAGCTTGTCGCATGTGACCGGAAACAGTGATTATTGTGAATCACGCTTTACAGGTGATTTCAAACTTCTGCTTCACAAACTCAATATTATGGCAGCTGGTGTATTCACAATTTCCCAGCCTCACTGTTATTTCACAGCGAGCCAAACCCCTGTTCCTTTGCGCTCTCTGTGCATGTGTCATTTACCTCAAGGTGGGCAGTCGAGGAAGGAGCGGATTACATCATTGCTGAGACCTTTGGAATGCAGGCGGAAGCTCTGCTGGCGTTGGAAGCAATCAAAGCACATGATATACCGGCCGTGGTGACCATGACTCCTAACTTGGACGACGACACCACGATAGATCCCGGAGAGAAGATCCCGGTTGCGCAGGCGCTCCGTACTCTTGAAGAGCACGGCGCTGATGTGGTCGGGGTCAACTGCTGGAGAGGACCGGCTACCATGCTGCCACTCATGGAGAAGGTGAGGCGGGCATGCAAGGGTCATGTTGCTGCCCTTCCCGTGCCCTACCGTACCACTCCACAGCGCCAGTCGTTTTTCGTGCTGAAGGATCTTGCGACCGAGTCACAGCTCTCCTTCCCGTGCAACCTGGATGAGCACTTGGCAACTCGACGAGCCATGGCCGACTTTGCCGTCAAGGCCAATGAGATGGACATCAAGTACCTGGGCATCTGCTGTGGTAATAGCCCCGGGCACATGCGCAGCCTTGCTGAAGCACTGGGCCGGCGGCCAGAGGCGTCCAAGTACTCTGCCGACATGAGCAAGCACTTCATGCTGGGTTCCGACTCTAGTCTGAAGGAAGCCAACACCAAGACCCTGCACCAGAAACTCTATGGAGCAGCAGAGCCCGAAGAGGAGTGATGTGTTTTCCACCATTCCTACTCCTTGTTGCACTAAGGCACTGTTGTGCTCATTGGAGGTGTTGATTGAATGGCTGTCTATCGTTTTCTATGTCAAATGATCTTATTGCTTCTTTTTTAATTCTAGTCCACTCATTTTGTAGGAGTAATGGGCAGTTGTGGATCAGATGCCTTTTAGCTTTCAACTTTCTTTTCGTATTTTCGAAGCTGCAAAGCAACATTAAATTGTGTTTGTGAATCTCATTGAGAACCGTGAATGTGACCGCCACTATGTAGTGGGCAATATCTCCTACACCTGAAAGCCAGTATAATCCGATATCACCGCTAGCCGGGTGTTTTTTCCACAGTACACGACGTACACTTGGTTACATCAAGAGTATGTGCTGCAAGGGGGGGGGGGGGGGCAGGGGCGTCAGTGCCGTTGCGGCAGGTGCTGCCAAAGCCGCACCGATAATTTCATCTAGTGTCTCAAAGTTTGGTTTTGAAGCAATGCAACATGGTCTATTTGGGTCCAATGGCCCTAACATTTCTCCGGCGGACGACCCCCGGACCTTCCACCTATTCATGCGGCCACACCAATGTCGAATACCTTCTGACGCTCCGGGGGGGGGGGGGGGGGGGGCGGAGGGCATCCATCCATTACTCAGACAAGGCAGTTGCGATCTATCAAACCAGCCGCTGCTGCTGACTGATGTTAGTGGTGCTCTGGCCTCATTTAAAATCGCGTGGAGCGAATATTGCCAAGGAAGAGCGTGAAAGAGCCATAGATAGAGCTAGATATGTTTCTTGTGGACTCAGATCCACAAGACGGGGGGGGGGGGGGGGGGTAAGGGAGGGACTGCATGTTGTACATGGGTAGAGTGAGAATGGGGCAGGACCTGGAGCCAGTGAAAACTGGAAAGGATACCAGTCAGGGCAACAAGCGTACATAACCCAGGGAGGAGGGGTAGGATGGGCCCTTAGTACAAGTAAGTTAGTTAGCGTTGTCCAAGCGTTGACAGAGCTCACAAGCCAGTGACCTGTGATTGCCTTGGTAGACTGTGGGAACACGCCTTGCTGCTTGTACAAAAGCTGCTGAAAGCCAGAGTTTAGAAATCAAGGCAAATACAGGACGGGAGAAGGGACTTCGAGGAATTGGTGTCCGGTGATCATCAGGAGTCGCAGATTTGTTTACGACTACCTGATGATCATTCTCACCTACTACAAGTAGACCTAGTAGACTCTACCTACTAGTACTTGTAGTAGTAAATAATTAATTATATTGTCAAGTAGGTCTACACGTAGATCCAATACAGGGAGTCGTGAAGTAAAACCACCCTCTTACTTCATCCGCTCATCTCTTCGGCGATCCGACCCGGTCGCTGCGCCGAATCCGTTCGAAGGCGTGAAACCACTAGCCGCCTAGCGCCTGCTAGATCTCCGACGTAGTGGCGCAATGTCACACTTCATCCGACGTGCATGCCGTTGAAAAGTCTACAGTGCTGCTAGACAGTCACAGGGCTCGTGCAAACCTTACCAATGGAAAATGGGATGGTAGGGAAGAAAAGAGAGCCAGAAGAACACGTGGAGTTCCACTCCGCTATGCAACACTTTGAGCACAGTCTACAGAAAGGCGAAGGAGAAGCTTTCATCCGCCCCCTTCCTGGTCTCGGGTTGCTCTTTTACCCATTACAGGTGCTGCTCGCTCTTGCTCCGTCTTGTTGTGAAGACTTCTGAAGTAGTTTCGTCCCGACGCTCGTGGTGAGTTGCATGGCTTCCGTTTTTGTAAACATTGTGCTTCGCAGTCCTTTGTTGTTGCTTTGTGCTCACCAACATTCGCGTGAAGCTGAAAACTGTTCCTTTCCCAGAAAGTCGGAAACTTGAACTAACCTGTCATTCTTCATCTACATAACCATTTTGTAGTTTCTAGTGATGAAAAGTAAGGTGTAGAAATGTGTCCTCCGCCATTTCTCACGTTTTGTTTGTCACAGGAAAGTGACCACTGCGGTATAGCTACTCCTACTCGCACGACTTGCTGCATTGGAGCAGTCTACTGTACGGCTTCCGCATTCATCATCGGATCGTTTCCAACTGTTTCGCTACTCTACGTTTTGGCTTTCGCTGAACTCTGCCGACGCCGAAGCAATCACCACCAGCAAAGAAGCCGCTGCTAGCACGCTACAGTATTCAAGGTGAGTCACTCAGGCCGGCTGTCGCGAAACGAGAACTTCCATTCTCCGACACTCCTTCTGCCCCTCCTCTGGATACTGCAGCATCCGTGGCTTGTGTAGCCTCTGTGGCTTGTGCATGTCCAACAGTGGCACTATACCGTACTAACAAGCGTGGTGTCTATTTCAAAGTTATTCGAACAATACGTTGATTCTCCCTCTTGTATCTCAATCGCATCATCCAATTCCACTATATTTACTGCGTATAATAGAGCTCATGTGCTCCTCCAGACCCGCGATAGGTTCCAGATTCTCCAGATTATCAAAACCTGAAGGGAAAGTGCTGTACGTGTTTCCCGGGCTACCCCTTCGAATACATCTGTTTAACGTGTATGTAGCTCAAAGGGATGTGCAATTAGTACTTTATAGCCAAGCTGCTCAATATCTGCCACCCGCCCGTATAATCAGACATGGTGCTGGCCTGGCACAAGCGAAACTGGTTGTGTTTCTCAACGCAAATTGCACAGGTAGTGGTAATGCAGACGCGTGCTTTTATACTCTATATCCGCGGTGGAATTACTGGACAAAGGATATGCAGTGTCTTCAAGAAAGTGCAAAAAGTGTGAAATGTTAAGAGACAAGTACTTGGAAGTATGTTATATCCAGGGTACCTTGAAAGTCTCACTGTACTAGCTATTCACATCTCATGAGCAGGTAGTATACACTAGAAACATGTTAGTGACTGTTCCCTGTTGTTTTTATTGTGCTGCCTGTTCAGACATACACCAGCCCCGTATTGATGCTCACTGCTGAGCAAGCATCCAGTCTACATGTACAAACTGCTAGTTCACACCTGTATCATCACATGCAGTGCCGCACGTCCATGAAGCTTCTTTCGCCGGATGGCCGAGAGCACTCCACCGCTAGGCTATGCATCCAGCCTGACAATCAGCGGCATTGTCGATCGGGACACCTGTTGTCCGGTTGCGCAGCGTCAACTTGGTAAGAAGAACTTGGCACACAGCAAACTGATTATGTAAGCAATCTCCGAGCTTATCCACTGGGCGGACTTAGTATGATGGCACTACCAGTGCATCAAATTCACAGGATCATACACAATCTAATGAGTGGAAGTGCATTATGCATGTACCATATTTCCGGTGTAAAGGGGGACAGTTTGTTTCAGAAAAATGGATCAGACCCGAGCATTGTGCCGCATACCCAACACACACCTCTCGGTAGTAAGATAGTTCAGTGTAACTCCACACAATGTACCCTTTGGAGAACAAGAAAGTGAACTTAAAGGGGAAGTTAAGGCAAAAAATAAAATTTCACCAGTTGTAGTCTTCGGGGTGCTGAGTCGAATGGTCTTGGTCCGAGAAAGCTGAGACGCTCCCTTCCTACTTGAATCCCAATCGAACTCGCGCACTTCCACCGAAACTGGGTGACTGCGCCCTACTAGATGGGGATTTGTATGCAAAATGTCACTAAAAGCGCCATTTCGTTCTTATAAAAGCACGGATGACCGCGATTGGCCCATATGTTGTAGTCTTTTGGACGCTGAGTCGACTGGTTTTGGTCCGAAAAGGCTGCGATGCAGCGTTTCTCCTTTATTCCCAATCGAACATGGTTGAACAAGCGGTCACGTGCTCCTGGGTGCCCAAATCACCTGGTCACAACGCCAGCAGGTGACAACTTTCACACCAAGGTTCAACTCGAGTGACAGGACTGCACCCAAAAAAGGTCAAAACAGGCTGTAAGTTGTACCCTGCAGGCACGGTGACCAGCTGACTGGTGTACGCAGGAGCACGTGACCGCTTGTTCAACCATGTTCGATTGGGAATTAGGGGCGAACGCTGTATCGCAGCCTTTTCGGACCAAAACCAGTCGACTCAGCGTCCAAAAGACTACAACATATGGGCCAATCGCGGTCATCTGTGCTTTTATAAGAACGAAATGGCGCTTTTAGTGACATTTTGCATACAAATTCCCATCTAGTAGGGCGCAGTCACCCAGTTTCGGTGGAAGTGCGCGAGTTCGATTGGGATTCAAGTAGGAAGGGAGCGTCTCAGCTTTCTCGGACCAAGACCATTCGACTCAGCACCCCGAAGACTACAACTGGTGAAATTTTAATTTTTGCCTTAACTTCCCCTTTAATATTCGCGGTACTTCTCACCGCAGCGTGCTTCTGCTTGAAGAGCAATGCCCCGATGCCATGAATACTGTCCGTGCTAAGCAAGTGCATGATGCTCATCAGAGTATATTCTAGCCGGTTCCACTGTAAATTCAAATAAAAATGTGGATCCCTCCAGGGGGAGGTGCAGTTTGCAAACCAAAACGGCCAAAAAAGTTACTTCTGTAGATGTTTTGCATACTAGGAATACCACCATCAGGTATACCATGTCGTATGAAACTTAACCACTATGGGGGAAGCATCCAGTCAAGACAAGGTTATTCCTGTACAATTCTGTTGGTTTCTGCTCCTCTTCCAACTCTCCTGTGATCCTAGTTTAACTCTTATTATTGTTATGCGCTTGTAGCGACTCCATGTTCTTTGACTTTGTGTGCTGCTCTTTCGCTAAAGGAATAAAACGCTGTCAGCGCAATGCAAATGATTGGAGAGGACGTACAGCCAAACATGGCGTTGCTGTTGGACTATCAAACAATAATGGCGACAATGGCACTGGCAATGTCAGCTGGCGTGCACTGGAACTGGCACTATATTCACCACAATGCGGTTATAAGTACCATGCACACATAGAGTCACCAGTGGCTTGGTTATTCACACTGCAGTGCATGATGCCATAGATAGACACATGTCATGGTATAGTCGCCAGTCAGTTTCCAGTGCGTCCCCGGTTGGATACATGGCAGTTGTGCATCGCGTTGTACAAGAGATCGCACAATTCTCCTGCAATATTGCTGGTGGCCCTGCCTGGATAACTGATTGGCGACCGTACATGCATGCACCATAGTGGGTGTGAAAGGGTAGCCTAGGCTAGGGCATACACCAGGCCACATTTTCCAGGCATAGACATAGGTTTTTAGATAGGATTGCATTGTCTGTGGTGGGCATGGTAAGGTGAAGTCTCCCCATCACTGCTGCAGTGCCAGCTATTCTTTCCTTCACTGACCCAGAACACACTCTGCTTCGCCTTGCCATGTGGTCATCGTTTCCTCCCACCAAGCAGGTTCCACACTTCTGTGGCGACAGCACGGTGTATGCATGGCGTATCATTTCATCAGGTAGATGGCAATTGTCCGGTCAAAGCGTGCACTCTTTTCTAGCCTAGGACATTCAATTGTATGTGTATTGTGCTGTTAGATTAGGTGGGTACGGGTGGGGGTTAGGATCATAGTTACTATATAGGACGGAGACCGGACAATGCATTGCTACTGCAGGTGCGATGGGAAATGTGTGGACTGGTAGACAGTAGACATCACAGGACCAGTTCCACTCGGGTGAAGATCAGGTGCGATCACCAGGCTGTAGAATGAGTAGAAGAGAACCAAGTTAACAGTCCACACATAATGCAATATGTTTTGTCTCAGCAGCTTCTACGATACTTAGATGTAGTGTTCATGTAGTCATCGAAAGGTCACCGGGAACGCGCACACTGACCTTCACCCAGGGCCTGTGAAGACTTGGAGGGAAGCAGCCCTTCAGGACATCGGCTGAGTAGTGTGCGGGGTGTGCTTTTGGAGTAGCCATCGCCTTTGCCAAATGCACACCAGGACTCGGGGACATCTTCTCATGCCAGAATGATTCACGGTGAGTGTATGTGACAAACAGAACGTGAGGCTAACAATTCCCCTGGGGCTAGGCATAGATCATGACTAGGCGACAGACGCTTATCATTTTCTTTTCTATTTATTTCCAAGAAAATGTACACGCGACTCGTCGAGAAGAAAAGTTCTCTCAGGCTGCGCCAGTAGGTTCGTCCTGTGGGCTGTGTGCTTTGGTGGACTCTTGTAGCTCCCCCGTCTTTCGTCTTGCGTTCTTCTCTGTCTTTCCTCTCTCCTCCCTGTTGGAGTTTTATGTGAAACAAGTTCGTGCACATGCTTCACACAGGGAGGTTCGTGTTACACTACCTAGTGCTTTCACTCTTGTAGACTTACTTTTGCGTGTCAGTGGTGTTGTGTGTGCGTTTGTGTGTGTGCTATTCGGTCTAATAAAACATGGTGGTATGCTGTGCGGCTTCACTGTTTGTGTGCTTCCCTTGCTCTCGGTGTTGAGCATTGGGTGTGGGTGCGATGCATGGTTCTACTGACCAGTAAGACGGGCTGTGGCATTGCAATTTCATTGCGCAATACCAAGTCCAGAGGTCAAGCTGCTCATTATGGCCATGTATCCTGCAGAGGGGGTCTGGCGTATTTAAAAAAAAACTTAAAACATACCTAGGCGAGTGTGCATGGCATGTGAGCGAGCATGGTGAGCTCGGGCAGGGTCAGGCCTGCCGTCTTTCCTCCACGTCTGCGCCAATAAAGCTTCTCTCCTTGTGTGCGGTGTGCGGCTTCTCTTGTTTGTGCTGGGAAAGGGGTGACATGCATGGCAACATGTGGCTGCCATCATGGTGTTCAGGTTCATAGTTGCAGTGTGTGCATGGTGAGTGCGAGGCATGGTGAGCTCAGGCAGGTTGTGCGTAGACCTGCCGCCTTTCTTCTCTCTCTCTGACTTCCAATAAACACTCTTCTTTCCCTGTAACTTGTGTCGAGTTGGCTGTTTGTCGTGGTGGGTTAGGGTCTTACAGGGATGATGTGGCAGAAAGCCGGGGGTGCTGGCAGGTAATCGTACAGGGCCTGCCTAGCTAAGCTATTTGAATCATGTGCACGCATGTCTGCGTGTGGTGGGTGTAAACTAGTTGTTCAGTTTTTTTTCTGGATATCTTTATTTTTCTGTTTTTCTAATAAAAATAGCACTAAATTCAAGCATGGTAATAGTTGCAAGATGAATGTGTGTACGTGTGTGTATTTGGTGGGGTTCCAGCATGGCAGTTCCATATTTTCATGACTGCATGCTGATTCAACTAAAACAAGAAAACAAGAAAATAGTATGTCGTGCATGAAAGGCAAAATGCGAGGACATTTTCGCGATCAGGAAACCTTTTCAGACTCTTCGGTAGACTTTTGGTTGGAGTTTTGGTTGGAGTTATGGCTGAAGTTTTGGCTGAGGTTTTTGGGACTTTTTGGTGGACTTTTTTTCTGTGATTTTGGAAGAAGCCTGAAGGTTTAGCTCATTTTTGTCATCGCAGCTCAATGCTTTCTTGCTTTTTGTTTCAAGAGACTTACTTGTTTGTGTTTGTGTGTGATTTATTATCTTGTTCTGTGCAGGACATTACAGCAGGATAAGTATAATGATATGTGGTGGCTTGGTTTGCACTCTTACAGCAGATTATTGATTGTGGCTAAGAGTACAGCGTTCTGTGAGTTGGTTTGTTTGTACCCTGCAGATGTGCACAGGTGCAGAGGGCTGCGCTGGCCGGTTCGCCGATACCACCATTGACAGGCTGAGCCTGGATATCCTCAAAACCTGTATTGTACCATGATGGAACTTGTGGTTGTATGATGACTGTTTGAGAAGCAGCACTGCATGAATTTGGCCCAGCTCACTAGTGAAAGAATTCCATTTTCTGCATTTCGACATGAATGCCTGCCTGCTGCTACATTGTACATTACTGCACTATCAGGGCTACTTGTGTAATCTGTTGTCTATACAGCTAGCTAGCAACCAGAAGGAAGAGCACTCCATGTAACTGCACATGTCATTGATGGGTGAGTATGAAGGTCTTTTATGGAGAAAAAGTACGATTGCACACATGGGTCCATGACTATATTCATATTGTGCCCTGCATGTTTGCACTAGGTGACTGGTGCTGGCTGTCTGAGGGTGTTGACCATACACATGGATCATACAGTGTCCAATAAAGATCCGTCCATTTATTATTGCTTCCAACTGGATGTTTGGCTGTCAATTGTGTGTGTGTGTGTGTGTGTGTGTGTGTGTGTGTGTGTGTGTGTGTGTGTGTGTGTGTGTGTGTGTGTGTGTGTGTGTGTGCACAAGTTGATATGTCTAACATAGCTGTTCGCTATCATCGCTTCCGCGATGGGCAGGTCTGGTCTGAGATGTGTGTGTGTGTGTGTGTGTGTGTGTGTGTGTGTGTGTGTGTGTGTGTGTGTGTGTGCGCGTGTGTGCGCGTGTGTGTGTGTGTTGGTCTGTGCCTATGGTCGCTCAGATGAAGAAGGATCCCCATCCATTGTCCTCATTCTGGTGATATCACTGCTGGCTGAGAGGTTTCCTGTGCTTGCCGGTGGAACTCAAAGCCCGGATATCACTCGGAGCGCCGTGCATTATTCTGCTGGGTAAAGCCAGAGCAGTTCTTCCGCTATCGTCGCCCCCGGGCAAAGGGCATGTACTGGTATTCATATACTAGTGTGTGTGTGTGTGTGTGTGTGTGTGTGTGTGTGTGTGTATAATATGCATGTGTGTCCATGTACGTGTGTGTTATGGGCTTCTTGTGGAGGTGTGTGTGTATGCCGAGGTGTGTTGGGAGGAGGTGTGTGAGTGTCACGGTTTGGGGGTCTGCGTGGGTATGTGGATATATGCATGTATGGGGGCATTATGAGAAATTTAGCGTGTCCATGGATGGATATCTATTCATTCATTGCCTGTTCTGGGTATGTTTTGTGACTTTGGACCCACCACCTCTGAACCAAGGTAAGCCACTGATTTCTACATGAAACTGTGACTGTCATGTTGAAGTTGACTGTATCACGGCTACACCAGTAAACCAGTTTCAGTCCACGGCATCTGTCTCCCCTGCATATTCCACACAGTTCTAACTAATAGCTAAAACGTAGTGTGTTCTGTGCTGAAACTGCTAAATGAAACCTCCGCTGTTAATCTGACCTAGTGTAAGGCAAATTAATACTGCGTGAGCCTCTGACTGAAGCTGCCTGCCTGATAATGCTTGCTCTAACTGACGCTGCCTACCCTATAATGCTTCCTTACTCCCTATCACATATTCCCACCAGTTGCCGTGGACTGAAACGTGGCTCCTTTGCATTCTGTTACGTATGTACAACTGTACATCATGTATACCTTTCATTGCATTGGTGAATCTGATTTACCGAACTATGGTAAACTGTTTCCTTTTTAAACATTAATTTTGTGTTTTTTGTTTCGTTTTCTTTGTTCTGTTTTTTTTTGTGTGTGTGTCTATGTCCAGGGCCCCACTCGCACTGCTGCTCTTACTAACACATTGACGCAGTACGAGAAAGTGAAGGCCTTCACATGCACGGAGCAAATTTCGTCAACACATTTGGAACTCTACTAGCAACCAATTCAATCTGGTAAGTTACAACATAGACTAGTGAACACTGAATACTTCAAGTATATTTTCTTTGATGCTGTGTCAATGTGCATGTCTCGATACCTAGTTGTACGTTTTGCAATGCATTTCTACTTGACTTTCTGCTTTCCATTCCCTACCTTGACACCGTGCTTGTGTACTCCCGGTTCTTTCCGCTGTTGTTCAGTCTCGTCCCAGTGCCTGCAATGGATCGTGTTTGCTGGTAGCTGTAAACATGGACATTCACAATGCTTGCTTGGACAATGCTTGCATTCAATAAAGTGAGTGTTTTTAAAATTAACCAATGGCAATATGCAGCTTCTTGTTCTGGAACATAATATTATAGCCAATTTCAGGGATAAGGGAACATAAGGCCTTCCAGAATTAATTCGTTGTTTCGGGTCACCCGACCGACCGTCTTTTTTCACCCGACCGCACAATGGGTTTTTTTTATAGTGCATGCAAATGTACAGACTAGACTATGAACACACGCGACCCTAATAATAGCAGTCCAGATATCGACCTCAGAAGCAGCCATGGCTAGCCAAATGACAGGATGCAGCGCTTGGTGACGACGTTGTCTTCTATCTCCGATCCGCAATCAGTCCTGAAACAGCATCAGCTCCGCCACCTTGTCGCTATTTACAGAAGTTTTCAAGGTGAGAGCTGCTCATCAGACTCGTTTGCCAGCGAGGCCAAGATCTGGTCCTGGAGGGGACCTGGATCTGATGGCTGGGACAATGACTGCGCTGGATTGTCTACACTACAGTCAGATTTGATCGACTGGCTAGATGGACAAAAGCTATTCGATGTGCATGTATCATTGTATGCACATGGACGTAACCAAAATAAAAAATAAAATATAGAATAAAAAATAAACCCGACCGACCGACCCGGGTACGGATGAGTGAAGTGACCCGAAACAACGAATTAATTCAAGGTGGCCTAATGACATTCTTTTTAGCCAATAATGTTGTATTGAAAAGGGAACACAATGGCTAGTGAGAGACTGAATACAAACGTGTAGTAGCCAAGAAAGGATGTGGGAACATAAAGCCGTAGAATGGGTTTCAGCATTAGTCTGGAATATGCAACACAGCCCCAGTCGGTTTCCTTTAGGGCTGAAACGGTCACGGTTTTACCCCTGACGGTTAACTGCTAAGCTAACGGTCGGTTTAACGGTTATAACCTATAAGACACGGCAATCCGGCGGACTCTTTTTTAACCGTATATTTGACTATACTCATTCAAACAATGTACCCTATTCAGTACAACGCACACATGTATATTCTCTTGCATGCTCATTCATACATAGTCTCACACCAAGAGACCAGATATGACCGAGGTGATAGCCCAGAAATTGCTTACGCGTGCGACAGCCTGCGAAAGTGCATACTTTGCAACGACCTGATACTTGAAAAATTGACTGAAAAGTTACTGCTAACCGTTATCTTTATCGGTTAACCGTTATCTGTATCGGTTAAGGTGGCTCACACCCTCTGCGCGCGCATCGTTTGAAAAGTGTAGATTTTCAGTAAATTTTTCGGTAGCGATGATTTTTGTGTCAATCGTTGTTGAACGTCTTCTCGCTTTTCTGCAATTCTGGCGACCTAGCTAGAACCTGCTGCTAGTGTCCCTCTTCACTCGTTCTTTCTATGATAGGGGAAGGCAGCACTCGCAGAAGATTTTCCAAGAATGCAATGTCGACTGGTGCTCGTACCATAAGAAGAGAGAAATCAAAGTCCGCTCTTGAATCATGCCTGAGTATTAGAAAATTATTTCAGAACACGCTTGTGTAGATTTCCTGCCAGTGCCACTGACATCTCGCGACCTCCAAATATTATAACTTGCTCGATCATCTCCCGCACTGACTGGCAAATTCGTCAGGTAGCTGTGGATGGATCGATTCAGGGAGATCGAAGGTAAATACATCGAAGCACTTCAAACACGTTTCAAGACGCACTTCAAATTTTGTAATTGTGTCTTGAAAATTGTTTAGAACAATTCCACGGTACTTCAATACGCTGTTGAATTGTATCCTCTGCTTGGGAGTCTCGACTGTTTTATTGCTGCATGGCTCTCCTCAACACCGTTCACTGTACATGTATCACGGAACGCAGATTGGATGGCATTGGAGGTGAATTTGATAATTTGTGACTGTGTCATCAACCAAGTGAGGACATCAAATATCAACCGGGACGCTCCGAAAATCACAAACGCTGCGAAATAGATGGTCTTACACACTGGAGGGTATTCCACATTCATTGTGTCATATCTTTAGACTGTCCGAAAGTTTGTCGTGCCGTGCAACTTTCACAGACTTATCCGATAATTGGCATGTGGCCCTACTGGCACACACTCATGCGTACTGCCGTTGAGTTTATCTATATGTGCACGCACATGTGTGTATACATATACAATTTTATTACGTATGTAAAATTAGGCAATCTACATGTACATACTGTGTGTGCACTCACTCTTATGACATAGAACGACAGTGCAGGCTATGTAAAGTCGCATCAATGTGTGTCACCCGGGTGTGTACATGCATGCGCGCTCGCGCGGGCGTTTTGTGTGCGCGCCTGGCATGGCATAACGCCGTTCAGTATGACTAGTGTTGAACCGTGGTAATTTGCCCCCACCCCCTCTTTTTTCTGCTGGCGTTGGATATGCAACTAATGACATAAACTCGGTTGTTGAAAACGAGTGCCATGCACCACAATGGATGGACAATAAGATAATACAAGTAGCACTGTAAAAGCGCTGGTAATACTTATGTTGAAGCCATGGCAGTTGTGAGTAGCTTTCCAAGTCAAGCCTGCTGCAGAAATTATTGCACTCCGACCAGCTGGAGTGGCCCGGGACTGCCGGTTGTGGAGAACAGGAGTGATGCTTGTATATACGCTTGTATTTACATGATGTACACAGTGTACTTCGAAGTAACGCTAGGTGTATTACTTGTGTGTTCTTCTGCCTGTGCGCGTGTACATGTGCTGGTCAGTGTGGAACCGCCATCCATATCAGATCATACAGCTGCTATCAGTCTCAACAGCTTGTATCTTGCAAATAGGGTTTTAGTGACTCGATTTTGCTTACTGTGTTCAACAGAGTGGCATTACACACAGCTACTTGATGTAATAGTACAAGTAGCATCTTGGAAATTTTCTATATTTTATAGTTAGCTTCAATAGAAACTTCTCCAGTGTGGCTCTTAGCTTCATTACCACGGAGACTAAGCATTCAAATAATGCACGAAGAACAGTGGCTAGATGTGAAGTGAAAAGCCATTGGACCGTACCCCGTGGAATACGCATTTAGTATAGAAGTATTGCTTGCTATGTTGGCAGCAAACACTGTATAATAATAATAATAATTACATTACCAGTAGAAAGTGCCCAATGTGCATTGCTTCAGCACTATGTTTTGGACAAAGCAGTCAACAAATTCCACATCACTATCGCCTTCATGTTGGAGAAAGTTGTGAAAAACACTAGAGCATACATGTACACTCAATACACATGCTCAGCTACATGTATGGCATTTAGTATGTGGGCGACTTCAAAGTTCTATTTTGGTAGTTTGCTTCGGTAGAAACTGTCTAAACTTGATCCAAAGCTCTACTACTATGTTCTGAAGATGTTGCAATCAAGTAATGTAAGACACGTATCTGCCGCATTGGAGCTAGTTGTGAAAACCTTTAGACCATACACTCAATGCACATGCTCAGCTATGGCATTTAGTATGTGGGCCACTTCAAAGTTCTATTTTGGTAGTTAGCTTCGGTGGAAACTGCTAAAACTTGATCCAAAGCTCTACTACTATGTTCGGAAGATGTTGCAATCAATTATTGTAAGACACTTATCTGTCATATGGTGGAGTCAGGGGTTCTAAGGCGTTGGACAATGTCCCAGTGCAATGTGCTGATTCTTGAAATATGGCATCACTTGAAACAAACTTCAAAGTTTTATTTCACGAGTTACCTTCGGTAGAACCTGCTCAAACTTGCTACACAGTATCATTATTAGGTTATGATAGCATCACCATCGAATACAGGGCAAGTCCAGTGTCAAATACCTGTGGGCGGGGCTAATATGTGGGACGTGTGCGCTGAAATGGGATGATTCCGAAAAGAGAAAAAAGGTCACCTTATAGCAGAATTCTACCCACTTCTACAGCTTACTGTAAGACATGTATATATAACGAGGAAGCAAATCTAACGTTTTAACGGATGACATTTCTTCGTTATAATAAGGTCCGTTGAAGCCGTACTGCTTCATATATGCTGTGTGTGGATATGGCAGAATACTGCAAGATCGTTAACATATCTTCTCGTTAACCTATGAATTTTGGACAATCGTTAAATTTGCGACTCGTTATAATAACATGTCTTACAGTATGCTGATATTTAGCAAGTATACTACTGTCCTGATGTTGGACATCAAGAAAAAGGGGGTAACTACCAGTGCTACGGCCAAAAAAGTGATTTTCCGGTATTTTTTGGCCTAAATTGGCAATTGTGAGTATGCTATGTTTGGCCCCTCCCCCGAGTGAAACCGGCCGGTAGAACTTGATAAAAATTTGTCTCCGTACACTAGATATCCAACGGAACAAAGTACAATCGTTTGCAGCCACGTTTCAAACAAAAAAAAATTGGACCCGAGGGGTAGGAGCCACCTTAACCGTCAATTATTCGTAACCGGTCTGCAACCAATCGGACTAATCGTTTGAGCTCTAGTTTCCTTTGACACCAGTCACATTGTATAGAAGAAATATAATAGGGTTAAGTCTATTATTTTTATATGCGTGACTGATTATACATATAGCGTTCTACTCCTCAGGAATAGAAACAACAGAACTCGGATACAATATATACGGTGGACAACTCCTTGAATTTTGTTCCTCTTTGTCCATATTCAACAAGACGTGCATGGACCTTTCAGAAAAAAGGTCAAGTCTGATTTTAATGCTTTTCTGCCGGCACTGGCCAGCCAACTCCCAGTTATATTGAAAAGGAGTGAACTTATGAGATGCTTAACTCCCCCGTAGCCTTGTCCTAACCATAACGTTATCCCTGATGATGCTCTCCTGGGCAAAAATTGGAAAGACCCGAGATATTTTTGGTGTAGCCAAGGTCTCTGTGTGCGCTGGGGCTTTAAGCTATGATTAGGAAATGTTCCCGTCTTGAAAGCTAATACTGCGATTTGTTCACACGTTCTTGCTTTTTGTTCCCGTTCCAGAAAATATGGCTGCAGTCAGAACTCTATGATGTGTGGAAAGTGTGGGAACTTCTCTGCAAATCGCCTATCCTCGATGAAACCACTCAACGATAAACGGTATAGTGACTGGCGTAATTACAATCATCTCGGCATTGCACTGTTGCAATTGTTGCAGTGCACTCGTTCAGCCAGGATATGATATATTGCATATATTCTCCCATCCGATTTCCTATTTCCTACCAAGGTTCACTGTATAACTAGATGTACCCATAAAAGAGTTGCTTTATAGTTCTGACATGATCGCTGTTGCAATATCAACTTGCACAAGTTTTCAATAAGGCAACATTTGTTACGATGCTAGGCCGCAATTAACACTTCTTGTTCTCTCATTATTATTCCAGACTTTAGTACGGTGTGAGTATAGGGAGGTATGCTTTGCAAGCGTTGAATCAGGTTTCATGGGTGAATCCCCATTGATGTCATCCTACATATACGGTAGAATAGAGTTGATTCAATTAATATTATTTACAGAGATGCATTAAAGCATCGTATTGGCTTGCATACCTCAGGAATTCTCGATATACTATTTGCACATACTGTTATCATAGCCATGTCACGGTTTACTGTTTTGGCTACTTGGTGCCCTTACTGATGGTTTCTCAAACGGCTGTCTTGCTCATCCTTTCCACTTCAAGTTCTCACATGCATGCCTCTCGTCTTCCACTCTGTCCCATATCACCGTTCCGAGTTTATCACTCTATCATTGTTTAGAGACCGTTCTGTAATAGTTTCCGCAACCTTCATCAAGCTGTACATGTGTCACAGCGTCACATTCTTTAAGTGAAGGAATTCTGAGCCACACAAGATAACACTTCTTGTGACTGTATTGATGCTGTGCCGCCGTACTGACTGCTGACCAGTGGAACTATCCCATCCTTCCACCATGATCACTTAGGCCGTCAATATGACGATAATACACGTGCATGGAGGCAGTTTATAATCACATGCAGAACTCTCCTTCTAGATAAAACGCACAACCATAATTATACCAAAGAGTTGGTGGACAAGCCTTTGATTATTCACTCTCATTGTAATATCAAAAAGTATTCTTTCTAGACCAAAGAGTGGTATATTTGATAACATTTAATAACGATAGAAATTTTTACGATACTTCTCCAGACGTTTCGTTGTTCTGAACAACATCGTCAGTGGATAAAGAATTCTTTATCCACTGACGATGTTGTTCAGAACAACGAAACGTCTGGAGAAGTATCGTAAAAATTTCTATCGTTATTAAATGTTATCAAATATACCACTCTTTGGTCTAGAAAGAATACTTTTTGACATAATTATACCTTTTGCTCAATATTGATCCATCACTTATAACTGTGTGGTGAAGGACTACAGCTGTTATGTTGCGGCGCAATAAACAGATTTTGATTCCGTTCAGTTTTCAAGGCTCAGCAGGCTTCGGCACTGCGAAGATATCGCACAACCAGAGACAACCTGATTACAAGCATAGGGTATAGGGTAGGGGAGGGGGGGGGGGGGAGGGTATCAGTACATGACAGATAGGGCTTTCTCGTTGGCCGGGTGTGGCAGTTACCATGGTTATGATGACTTTCTTTTTGGTTTTACATGTGAGGTTTTTGTGGGCCAATGCAAATTATAATGCGGTGATTATTGCATTGCACATACAGCTTCAGGGTTAAAGGGGAAGTGCATCGATTTTTCGAGTATGGTCCAGAAGAAAGACAATTTGATATCGGTTCAAATGGCATATCTCTCGCTTCCATACGATAAGCCAAACTTTAGGGGTCGCACTTGGTATCATGATCAGCTAGCTCTCGACATCGCGGCCATCTTGCTTTTGACTGCATGCGCGACGCGTGCTCTTTTGGATCACGTGTGTGGTTCTCAATGCATTGTTCACGGCTGTTACGCAGTGGACATCTAACAAGATGGCGGCGAAAAGTTTGAAATCGCTGCGGATTTACTAAAATCCTTTCGACTTAGTACAAAATGTATAGAATTATATAATTTCGCCGGATTTAGTACTTTCTTTCGGTAAAGTCGGTCTAAACCCAAATATTTTTTGAAACGACAAGGAAGTAAGAACAGAAGTCTTGCTGTCGAAAACATCAAGAAGAATTATTATTGGAGGAAGTAGAAGTGAACAGTTAGAGTTAGACCTTACCTCTCTGGCTTTGCGTGTAGTCAGTGTTATGGCGGACTGGCTGGTTGATCTGCCTGCGATGGAGCAGTCCGCTGCCTCGATCGAACTTTGGGCCGTTGATCTGCAACGTCTGGCAGAGTGCATACGAGGTGTTGTTCTGCAACAGCATGCAGGCGCTCAAGCTCGCCGGGAATGGAACCGTATCTCTTCTCGAGCAGGTTGAACTCGGCGTGAATTCCTTCCGCGCCCTGTTCCGACAGTAGACCAAGCCCGACGTGCACTCTCCGCATCAGCGGCACAGTGTGTTCCTCAAGGAGGTGCAGCTTTGGAGTGATGTGACCTAAGCCTCTCTCCACCACCTCGCTCCGACATTTCTGTAAGAACGAGGCAATGGAGAGCTCCAATTGCTGCAGTTCCTCCTCTCCACATTTGTTGCAATGGCTGAAGGAAGATCTGCACGCTGCGTACTGGCTGAACAGGGACTTGTACCGCTCACTGACTACTTGAGCGTCATTCTGCAGAGCTGGGCACCGATCTCCAATGACAATTGCTGGGGCCTCAGTGATAGCTGTGATCACGGCGGGCTTGAGGGCACGGTGGATATGGTTCCCTACAAAAGCACCGCCGTGATAGGCCTGCCGATGGATAATGTTCTTCTGCAGTACTGGCTCTATGGACGCTTCGCACGGGCCGAGAACATCCTTGCTGCGGCGCAACTTGGCCAGTTCGGCTTCAGCAATCTTCAGCTGCGAGCTACACTGCTCTGTGTCGGCCTGTGCTTGCTCAACCTCCCGTTGTAGCACGCCTGCGAGTGCTTCTATCGCCATGCCCTGTTGCTGGCCAAACAAGACGATGAAGTGCAGATGATTCTCCAGAGCGGTGGCTTTCGCTGTTGCTTCCGAGAACGCTGTTTTGCAGCCAGACAACTTGTGATTTGCAGTTGACAAGGCTCTAAACCGTCCACTGTCTTGCTCTTCAGCGTCGCATTGTTCTGCAAGCTGCATGTCCAGAAGACGGACCTCGCGTGTGAATACATCAAAGATCCACGGGAATACACCGAGGTCCAGGTGCAGCACTGGAATGATGGCGCGCGCAACGGGCACTGGCAATAGGACTGGTCGGATGGTGTTGTTATACAGCTTTGCCTTTGACAGCAGAGCACCTGCGCTAGTAAACTGTGCATAGTCCTCCGCCATCTTCTCTAAGGACCGTGCTCCATACTGTACGTCGCGGTTCGCTGGTGGGACCTGCATGTCTTTCTTCGTGCACAAGCAATGGAGGCAAGGCCTTACGCCACTGGAACCCGACAAGCCGTAGTTCATGGTTTGGTACTCGTAATCACCAAACAGATAAGGCACAATGGTCTTGCCTTTCCATTTCTGGCCCTGTAGCTCTGCAATTTGGTTCCGATACATTGAGAGTGCAGTTTCCAGGTTTGCCGGCAAGTCCTTCTCTGCAAACACGCAGATTGGCACAGTGTTGGCGAGTGAGTTTGGATGCATGGTGTTGGCGATTTGCATCACGAATTTAAATGTTGTCTTACCATGGTCACCGCCCAGCTTGACCCATATCTCCGTTTCTGGGATGGCGCCATCATGCCATGTCAGCTTACTGCCGCTGTCAAGTATGTCGAGGTAGTGGATAATGATGTCGGTTAGGTTTGGAAAGTAGACAGCTGCAGCAAGTGACAACTCGCCAGTCCGCTTGACAAAGGGGAGCTGCTTCACTGTGTATTTCGGCAAGGTGGTGGCGATGAATGAGCGAATGCTTCTCTCCGATTCAAGCTGAACTCCGAAGGAGCGGAGCCATCTGCGCAGCTTCCGGAGTTGCGCCCAAGGAAGGCTTAGATCGGCCTTGATGGCAAGGGCAGTGCCTGAAGGTGGTTTGATGCTGGTAGCGCCAAGTCCAGCAACGCCATGCCGTGTTGCATCTGCTGTGGTGCAAACTGTCTCTGTGATGCGCTCCATTTCCAGTGACCGTCGTTTCAGCGTCCTGGCTGATGCCTCCTCCGGCTGCTTGCTGCCAACTGTTGTTCGCATGAAAACTTGCGGTCTTCCTTGGCTGCTGGTTTTCACTTCCAGCCTCCCATCTTCTGCTTTGGCGGACACAAGGTGACAGGTCAGTCTGTCACTCACATCGCCCCGTAGCTTTGATGGTGACGCTGCTAAGATCTCCTCCACTGTTGCAGCTTTGGTTGCAGTACGAATGGGCGTTCCTGAGGATGTGGATGGATTGAACGGACATGATGTGACATGACCTCGTAATTCATGGAGGCGAACGGTTGCGGGGCAACCTGACAATGCTGGTTCATGGAAGTCACAATGTACACCCCACTTGCTAACCATATTGCACACTAGCTTGCATGGCTTCTGCAGTGTCGCCAGTGCCATTGGCTGTCTGCATACTGGACATGTATTGTGACTCTTCATCCACGTGTGCACGCATGTTGAGCAGAATATATTTTCACAGCATTTGGCTTGAACTGCTCCATTTACCACTTGCAAACATATCATGCATTCCTGCACAGCTCCACTGTCAATAAACCGCTCTTTCTCTAATGCTGCTTCAGCCCGATACATAGGCGCTGCGTGCGCCGAAATCTCGTCCAAAGTAACTGCGGATGTTTGACTATCAGTGGTGTGTGCTACTGTGTTGGTGTCACCGCTGCTACTGCTGCTGGTGCGTCTTTGCTGAGAGCTAGGACTGCCTTCTGGCAGTTCTGCTGATGTTGATGCCGTTGATGTCTGTCGTTTTGCCGCTTGGCCACGCAGTTCACTGACGGCTTTCCGTTTCGGTGGACGGCCGCCCTTGGCTCGTACAGCATCACTCTTACATACGGCACAGTTAGATCTCGTATGTGGTTGCCATGTAACTGG